GCGGTCCCTCCACCTGCAGGCTACCCAGGAGGCCCTGTATCAAAAAAAAAAAAAAAAACTGTCTCATAAAAAAAAAAAAAAAAAAAAAAAAAAAAACAATAATGAATAAACTATGACACTTTCAATCTCTCAGAGGCTTTCTCTAGCACTCTATTTACAATGGCACTCTGGGAGGGAGGGGCTTTTGTCACTGCAACCATCCAGTACCCAGAACGTGCAAAGCACCCCGCAGCTATTCTCAACAGCTATTTGCCGGGGGACCTATGAGCCAGGACCTGAAGGAAGAGCCAGCTAACAGGAGCCTGTCAGAGTGGGGAAGTCTGTCTCAGTTGGGTGTCTGCTACAGCCTGATCCTAACCTTCAGACATGAGGGGCACAGAACACTGCTCAACCATCAGAGGCCAGTTCAGAAAAGTAAACATCATTTCAGGCCCTCATAACCCAGGCTGCATGTTGTGTGGAGCCCTCACTATTTGCAGAGACTTTGCACTCATCTTCTCATTAAAATATAAGCAGAGTGACATATTTCTAAGCTAAATTTACAGCATTATATCAATTTATGTGGATACTGAGGTTTGATTTATGAAAGCAATTGCATTTACCTTTGATATTAAACAAAATCAAAATCCCAGTTAAAAATGAGTATGTATCTCACTTCACAAACCAAGCAGGCATAACTGAAAGTCCACCTTCCCCAGCAACTCAAAAGAACAAGAGCTGCCAAAAGGAAGTAGAGGTTAAAGAGGGTGACTGCACATAAATAGCCTGACAGCAGTAAAGGGAGACAAGAAACTCTAAGTCAGGTAAGTCAGGGGTGTTGCTGTTGAATACAGGGAAGTCCTCTGTAATAACATGACATCTGAACAGAAAGCAGAAGGTCACAGAGTGAGCCATAGTATACCTGGAAGAAGAGACTTTCAGACAGAGAAGCAGCAACCGCAATGGCTCTGGGGCAGAAGCACGCTCATATGTACAGAGGACAGCCATAAACAAGGTGGCATGTAGTGGGAAGTGATGTCACAGGGTAACACGGCCAAGGCGCAGAGGGCCTTTCAACTAATGGAAGCACAGCTTTCACTGCGAGTGAGATCACATCTGAGACAAGGACTGACATCAATCCTTTTGTGAATTATATCTCATTTAAAACTCATTACAACTTTCTCATCTAGTATTATTTTACCATCTTATAGATCAAGGGGATTTCTCAGCCTCAGTACTATCGCTATTTAGAGATGGATCACTGTATGGTTGGGAACTGTTCTATACACTACAGAATGTTTAGCAGCATCCCCGACCTCTACCCCTAGATACCAGTACTATCCCCTCCCTCTCCACCCAGTGTGGCAACCAAAAAACTGTTGTCACTGTTGTCTACAAACAAAGACAAACTTCTGGGAATCAAAACCATCTCAGTTGAAAATCTCTGCTCTAGATGAAAAAATCAAGTTACTAAGGAGGAGGTTAAATAATCTGTCCCAAATTCACATAGCCCCAAATTGCATTCTAATCTGACTGACTCAAGTTGCTAAATTCTTAATCCCTGTGTTGTCCCAGCCTGCTACTAATTAAGATTTCTTAATCACATTAATCTTAATTCCTTTGTAAGCTTATCTAGCAGGATCAAGAAGTATACAAAAACCTAAGAGAGTGTCTCTACTATTTAGGAACAGCAGTTAGCATTTCCTAGGCACTTACCACGTGCCAAGAACTATTCTAAGCACTTTACAATGTATACTTTCACTTAACTCTTCCAGCAATTCTAAGGGATTTTATTATCCACTTTACAAATGAAGAAACTGAGGCACAGTGAGAACCACACAGCAAAGCCAGAATTCAGATCAGGCTGTCTATACTCCACAGAGGACCTACATATTCTATTAGCCTTCCTACAAGAGCTGAACATGGAAAGCAATCCTGAAAATGGCACTTCTTATAGAGGAAGCACTGCTTCCTTAAGAGGAAGAAAGAAAAAGTCCAGTCCTCCCCTCTTCAGTGAAGGCTACTTGTGAAGGTCTCAAGGACACTGCTTTCCTAACCTCTCAATCTAACGAAAAGGAAATGTGAAAAGGTTAAGATTGTGACACTGCTCTCAAAAGCTGGAAGAACGCCTATGCCAAACTGGACTGGCAGGGTCAGAGAGGCCCCCTGGTGGAGGGGATGGCTGCAAAGAGTCAAGAAGGCACAGAGGCTTCTGATAGTACTGAGAGGTCTCTGAGGGGTGTATTATGTACTTACCAGCAACTGCCGCTTATGGAAGGCAGAATGGCCTCCCAAAGGTATCCATGCCCCAATATTCAGGAGTCTTGAGTCTATTCGTTTACATGGCAAAATGCTCACTTTGCAGACATGATTAAAGGATACTGACCCTAAAAAAGAAACAGCACTCTGGATTCCCTCAGTGGGCCTAATCTAACCCCATGAGCCCTACATGACAGAGAACTTTCTCCAGATGGAGGCACAAGAGAGATGTAACAGAAGTCAGAGTGGTTCCAAGCATGAGAAAGATTGGATCTGATCCTGTTGCTGGCTGTTGAGACGTAGGAGGCTGCACAAAAGAACCAGGAAGAGGCCTCTAGGAACTGACAGCCAGCAAGAAAAAAAGGACCCCAGTCCCCCACAGAGATCTGGATTCTGCCAACAATCTGAATAAGCCTGAGAGTGGCTTCTTTCCCAAAGCCTCCCAGTTAAGAGCCCAGCTTGACAATTCTTTCTGGTTTTCGTGAAACAAACCCAGAGCAGAGAAATTAGCAGAGCTAATCAGGATGTCTAACCTAAAGAACTGAAAAAATCAATTTCTCATTTGGGCTGTTAAGTTTGCAGTAATATGTTATAGCAGCAATCGAAAACTTACCCACTGCTAAGTTCAAGACAAGAAGGGCCTGAGGTTGAAGTGTCAAGGTCATGGACAGTAAAAATTAGTACCAGACATTTGACCAACACTGAGGACCAGTGGGTTCCCATCCATCCAATCACTATGCTTTTTTATACCTATTTTTCACATCATAAGTTGTTTCTTTTCACTTATCTCTTTACCAGTTAAACTTTTATTATCATTCAACACCAGTTCACCCTTCTCCTTGAAGCTTTCCAGATAACTATGCCATTTATTCCATCCTCTGTACTAAGAACACACATATGCACCCACTCAAAAGAATAAAAAACCTACACGCTCCCTAGGACATCGTACAAGAACTGGCATAGTACCATGAGTAACTTTCCAGACCCGAGGCTCAACGAATACTTTTTAATATAATCGTATCCTTCCACTATTAAAAATACTCTTACCTTGCATTACTATTTCTCTCCTAGGGGCTACAAGCGGGTAATGAGGGCTCGTTTTAGGGATGACGGTTCTGAGAACCACCTCGAACTCGCGCTGCGCCGCAGGCCGCGATTCCGCCCCAGAACGGGTGAGGAAGGCCAACATCTCCGGATTGCTACCTTCCAGACTTCTAGAGAAATCGTCCCAGAGCGAATCCAGATCCGCGGTGGGGAAGTCGCCCTCCCTGCCTCCCACCCTGCCAAGCTGCCCCGGATTCCCGGCTATCAGAGGCGATAAGGTTGCTTCCTTCTGTGTCTGCCGGAGCTGGTCCCGGGCCTCCTCACGTCCGCGACACACTGTACCCTCCTGGGGTTCTGCTCGCGAGCTGGAGCCGGGCCCCGGTCCCTCCTCCATTCGGCGCACAGGAGGACTCAACTCCTCCTGCTTAGGGTCTGCGCTCCAGCCCTCTGCCCGGGGTAGGACGACGTTCTGGCGGGCCTCCAGACGGGCGCCGCACAGCCGTTTATTGGCCACCTGCGGCCTCTCCAGCCATACGGCCACGGCCGCCCAGAAGCCTCCGGGGAGCAGCCCACCTGGGTCACGTACAGATACCCGACCCACCTCCGCCATGGTCAGCCGGCGCATACAGAACCCAGCTCGCGGCGCATGGCGCTGACGCAGACTAGGTGGCGTGTGACGTCATGTGAGCAGCGCCGGAAATGAAAGCGGCGCCAATGGATCGACTTTCCCGCTTTTGGTTTCCCTGGAAAGGGTTCAACTGTGAAGTTCTTGGCTGAGGAGTTTTAACCTTCGTTTTAGTCCATGACTTGTAAGCCCAAGGTACGCTTGTGCACCTTAGGAAACACCGTCTTTAATCATCTACAGTAATTAAACATGGTCAGAGCTCAACTTTTGAAGAATTCTGGATATATTTATAAATCATAAACGTCTGCCAGAGGATATGGAACCCATCTTCTCCAGTACTAATAACTGATAAAGTCAAGGAGCCTAAGTGCGCGAATGTTCAAGATAAGTCCTCTTATGGAAGTTTCCTTCTCTCCACTTGCGTTCCGGTTGGCTTTCTTTTATGGAAGAGTTACAGCCAGTGCATTCCTACGTCTGAGCACAGCCACGGTGTTTCCTAAGAATGATAAAACCTTATGTTATCACACATGTACGGGTCTCCAGAAAGAACAGAGAAGGTTGAATACTGCCAATTTAGTCAATAGCACCCATCTTCAGCATTTCTAGTGAAATTCCAAAAATCTTCAAAGATTCTTCATTCGTTTTGTGCAACATTAGTCCACTCGGGGTTTTGCCATTCCCTGAAGGATTTCTGTTGGAATCAGACAAGAGAAAACTAACTCAAGTTATGTCCTTTATCAGAGAAGAGAGCACAGACCGAACATCTGTGGAATTAAGTAAGAGACAAATGAGTGATGTAAACTCAGAGACATGCCTGCTCACTCCAGCCCAGTCTTTGATCCTCTACAGTAATTAATTTTTATGCTGTCATTAGCTTCCTATGGCTTCCATAACAAATTACCACAAAGTGGGTGGCTTAAAACAGAACGCATTTACTATCTCATGGTTCTAAATCTTCTTGAGGAAGAATCTATTCCTCTCCTGGCTTCTGGTGGTTAGCAGCAATTCTTGGAGTTCCTTAGCTGGTGCCTTCATCACTCCAGTCTCAGCCTCCAGGATCACACCCAGTGTGACCTCATTTTAACTTACCTCTGCAAAGGCCCTATTTCCAAGTAAGGTCACAGATACCAGGCGTTAGGACTTCAACATGTCTTTTTGGGGATCCTGTTCAACCACAAAGACGTTTAGCCTCCGTGGGGCAGCCTAAAGATCAATAACTACAAATCTTGCCAAGCTGCTGTTGTGCATGGGGACCTGGGATAAGCCCTGAAGGTGCAGACCCTGCCCTTGAGGAGCTTTCAGGCTGACAGTAGAGGCAGAAAGATAAGACAGTGGCTGTGGAATATGAAAAGTAAAACAGTTAAGGCATGTACAGAGTTCAGAGGTTGCAAAGAAAGAGAAGCTAGTTATTGTCTCAGGCACCTTCTATCTCTAAACAAAGGTGTTATAAAAGGGGGATCTAGTGACAACTGAGTTAAAGAGAACTAACTTAAAAAAAAATCTTTTGAGGGAATCACAAGGCAAGGTGTCCATTTTGATTTCTCCACATACAGCAAAAATGCTGCTTTATTTAAATGTGGGCTCAAGTCCTCTTAAAAGTCTCTTGTTTTCTAAACATGAGATGCAAAAAAAAAAAAAAAAAAAAAAACTAAGTCTCTTGTTTTCCAGGTTCTCTGCTTTCATGTTTCTGGGCCCTTTTGTGGTCCTGGGGCTCTGTTGTGTCTTGCACTGGCTAACTTAGTCTCTGCTCTCTGCTGCATATCACATGGGCATAGCAAAGAGAAGCCACAGAAACCTGCAGTCCTAGGACTTTGGAATAAGGGGTAATGAATCCAGAAGCCAATGTTTGGCAAGGGAGGTGGAAAATTCCAGTTTGACATGGCTAGTATCCTTGTGCAAGAGCATGTCATTTCCTTTCTGGAAACTATCCTGTTGATCTATGAATACCGTTAACCTGCCTCCTGCCTCCAACCTCCAATGCTCTATGCAATATGATATCTGCCCCCCTTTCCAACCTCTGCCCTTATTTGCTAAGCCTCTGCTACAATGGTCTTTTTGTTCTTCAAACTCAACAAGCTCATTCCCATGTTAGGGTCTTTCTACTGAGTTGTCCCCTTGCCTGACATGTGCATTCTCAGATCTTCTGCCCACTCAGGGAACAGCTGAACTGTCCCGTGCTTAGGCAGAGTTTCCCTGACCTTCAAACCAAATAGCTCCCATTTTGCACATTATTGCCATGTTTTCTTATAACTATCCAAGCTTTTTAGAACCTATGCTTCATTGGGTTGGAACCCTGTCTGGATTATCGCCATAACCCTAACATATTTTTTGGCTTATGGGAGATGCCCAGTGAATAATTGCTGAATGGCAAGATCAATGAGATTAGGGAGTGTGGCAGTTCTGGTAGAGCTGTTCAAGACTGTCTCTGGGGAGAAACATCCTCAGCCAGAGGCAAGACCCAGGCTTAAGTCAAGGTTCCAGTCCAAGGCTGGGAGCAGTCTCTAGATGGTGCTATGCTGTAGTACTTTCTGTGATGATGGAAATGTTTCATTTGCATTGTACAATCGAGTAGCTATGTGTGGCTACTGAGTACCTGAAGTGTAACTACTCCAATGAGAAACCTGATTTAAATTAAATTCATAAGTAATTTTAACTAATGCATATTTAAACAGCCACATGAGGCTAGTGGTTACTGTGTTAGATGGTGCAGCTCTAGAGAGACTCAACTGGAACCCAGAAAGCCCCTCCATTCTGGGTCCTCTGCGTGTAAGTGCTGGAAGCAGGACAGAGCTTGGGAACTCTGAGGCTGAGGCTTCACCTGGAAGGCCGTTGCTCCTCTAAGTGTCCTGCATGGCAGCTCTACTATGCTGATCAGAACACAGCCCTCAGCCAGACACTCACCTGATGCCAAGACTCTTTCAGTATATAAACCCTTTGGATTTAATGTGTTGGGTTTATAGTAAAACAACAACAAAAAAAGAATTTTTATTGTCTCATGCTGGTGATGTTCACCATGAAGACCAAAGCTTCAGATGTTTGGATATGCATCTTTAAAAACTGTATTCAGGACACTCAGGATAAGTGACTGAGACGAAGGTGGTCTCAATCACTGAAGGTTTATTGAGCCAAGATTTCAAGGACACACCCAGGAAAAACACAAGCCACAGACAAGCTATGGTTATTTTGCCAAAGGGGCGGTTGGAACTTTCAGCATTTTGAAGGCAACAGAGAGAAGGGAAGGAGGGAGGGGTTAATGAGACAAAGTGGTTACATTCTTGTGAGGTCCACATGTTACAAAAAATTATGGGACTATTAGAAGGGAAAAGGGGATTGAAGGAAGCATCACTTATGTAGATGTCCCTGGGCAGGTGGAAGAATGTCTAATTCTGTCTTGTTTCCAGTTCTGTGACCTATAAGATAAACTTGTAATTCTTTGTAAGCGTGGAATCAGATAAACTTTAGTTTTAGGTGCTAAGCATAGGTACAGTTTGCATGTCCTTGCTCATGGGCAATTAGCAGGAAATTTCAATAATGTAATGAATGATATGTGAGGTCAGTTCTTCACAAGTGTCGGAGGCTTTTGTCTTCTCTTTTGCATAAGGAGATGCAGGGGTGGGGGATGGGATGGCCCTGAAACTTTGGTTTTCTCTTTACACAATCAATGGAGGTTTATTAAGCCAAAGGTTGAGAATGCGTTCAGGAAAAAGACAAGCCACAGATGCAACTGTGGCTGTTGTTTTCCAAAGAGGGATTTGGGAATTCAGTATTTAAAGAGAGGGGGCATATGGAAGGAAAAGGGGGGATGGGCAGTGAGGCAACTGATTATATTCTTGTGAGGCTGAGGAAATCCACATTTTACTTAAGATAAGCAAGCATTTGTGAATTATAAGGGAATAAAGGAAGAATCAATTATGGAGATGTCCCTGGGTGAAGAATGTTTGATCTCATCTTGTCTCTGTTTTGCACCTGGGAAGATAAACTTGTAGTTGACATTATTGTTTTGTTTTGTTTTTATAGAGACAAGAGTCCCCTCACTTTATCCCCTCGGTAGAGTGCCGTGGCATCATACAGCTCACAGCAACCTCCAACTCCTGGGCTTAGGTGATTCTCTTGCCTCAGCCTCCTGAGTAGCTGGGACTACAGGCGCCCACCGCAATGCCCGGCTATTTTTTGTTGCAGTTTGGCCTGGGCCAGGTTTGAACCCGCCACCCTCAGTATATGGGGCCGTCACCCTACCCACTGAGCCACAGGCGCCGCCCTATAGTTGACACTATTAGTATGAACTCAAACAGGTGTTAGTTTCAGGAGCTGGACTTAGCTTGAAGACCCAAAGTACAATTTGCATGTTCTTGTTTATGGAAGGCCAGCAAGATATTTCCTTATGAAAAGTCTGGGGCAGTCCTTGTAGACACCTCAGGCCTTTTACCTTTCCATGGCAAGCTGGCTGATGTTTAATGTTAATAGCAGCTATTCCTATAGAAGGGGGTGTTGCAGAACTCAGCCAACCTCTGGGCTTCACCTTCCCTTTTGATAAGGAGTTGGGGGATGGTCCTGAGATTTTTATTTCCTTTTACACTGATAGTCCACAACTCTTCCCTAATACCATTTTCACTGCCTTCTACTTTATGTGATTTCACAGGGGGAAGGTGGTGGCTGTGAGGTGGTGGTGCTATAGCTGGGCTGTCATGGGGCCATGCCCAGCCCAGTGCCCCAGTGACTTCTTCCCAGACAGGCCTCTGTGCAAGGGAGGTGATGGTGGGAAAGAGAGGAGGAAGAGGATAAAAGGTGACAAATGGCTAGAGGGTGGGAGACAACTTCGGTTTTAACCATGTGTACAAATAATTGCAGTTGCCAGTGATGGCCAAGTGAGCAAATAACTAAATATGAGTAGGGAATGGGTGTTCCAGAAGGGCCAGGATGGGATGAGTGTCAGAATAAGCAAAAGATGAGTGAGTGGGGACCAATAGCAGAGCTCCTGTGGGTCACTGAGTTACCAAAGAGCTCCCTCCTCCTCTACAGTTCACACCAGGGCTCTGCAAGTACATCTCTTTAGCTAACAAAACCAAACTCCCTTTCTTGTCCCCAAAATTGCTCCCTTTATGCCATTTTCCTGGCATTTCCATCCACCCAGGTTCCAGCAACACAACTCAGAGTGGAGTATTAATTGAAGAAATGATGAGATTCGTAATTTGGAAAGGAGAGCTTTATTTCTCATAAAAGGTTGCATCCTTCAGGTGGCCACTCCACTGGAAAAGCAAAGCCCATGGCCCTGAGCCAGGAACTTGTGGTTTGAGGCAGGAACGATGGGAACAGGAACTTATACTGAGTGGGGTAGCCAAATATGCATACGTAACAAGCTATAGGAGGAGTTATGAATATTTATGAGAAGAGAAATGTACACCTGTGCGATGGGGCTTTCCGCCTTTTTATGGGTCCATGTACAGAAATGACTGCCCTCTATGTCAAACAGGTGAGACAAGGACATGAAAACCCTCTTTGCCCTTGCTCCATAGATGGTTTAAAACTATTCTGTGGCTGGTGGTCTTTTATCAGGAAAAAATGCTGGTCTGGCCGTTAGGAAAAAAAGCCTCACGGGAGGGGATGAAATAAAGTGTATCTGTCCTCTCATCCTGTCCATGGCTAGGAAATCAGTTTTAAGATTTCTCTGGGGTCCCCTGGGACAAGATGGGGTGCATGCAGTCAGCGGGGGCTTAGAATTGTATTTAGTTTACAGGAGCATGACCTCTTTGTTCTAACCTTACCACCATCCTGTATGTGGTCCTGTATGTCCACCTGAGTGCACATAGAGATGTCCAATGACATTCCCAGGTCAGCCAGCGTACTAAGGCCCAGGAGGGAACCATGGGTGGGGAGAGGTGTTACAAGATGGACAAGCAAATGCCAGAAAGTGGTCCTGGGGTAAAGCCACAGTCAGAACCGGAAACAAAAGTGTTAAGCCTAGTCACCAATCCAGGAACCTAAATGGAGAGAGTGAAGTAATGAGGCTAAAACTCGTTTATGATCCAGGCCTGACGAGCTTCGGGAGGTACAGACAAGTGTGAGAAAAGGAGGGCAGAGCGAGATAGAAAGGAGGGGAGCCTGAGGACATCCTCAGGGCTAGAAACATGCGCTTTGTGTATTTTCTCCATATTATGGATCGATGACATCCTAACTTAAACAGAACTGAAGAAGTCACTCGGCTCCATCCTCACCCTCCAGCTCCACTTAGCCTTATATCAGGGCCTGTTAACCTCTTACCTGGACTAGCCCACCAGTTGCATCAAGGTCTTCCCCTTTAATTTGCCCTCCGATGTCTACTTAGAAACAGCTTATCTCTCCCTTTCATTCCTGCAATGAACGTGAATGATTTCCCAGTAGAAAGATGTCTTCCTGATGTCTTCATGTCAATAAAACATGTGAACTCAACTTACTAGTAGTTGTAATTTGGGCAGAAATTGTGGCCCAAAGGAGGTGCGGATTCTGCAATGAATGGGTGTTATGTATTACTCTAACCAGAATCTCCACACATTTGAAAAACAGTAGTGTGTATTCTTATTAGACCATGCCCAATTCCATCTCCAGGCAATCCTAGTTTCTCCTGTGGACTCAGGACCATTTGCAACAATGTCCCAGACCCTAGGGTGGCAGTGGCTGGTCTAGACTGAGAATCTGTTCTGACTGATTAGCAGGGCACCTGCAGGGTCCTGGGTTGTCATTCAGTCCCTTCCTTCTGTTTTTGCAACTGATAAACTTAACTGTAAGTCTGTTTTGAATGAGAGTGATAACTGCGAAGAAAAACCTTTTCATGGAATTAAGAAGGTATTTCAGAGTATAGCAGGAGTAGAGAGGATTTCCACAATCAGCTGAACATCCCCATCCAGATGTCCTACCTACAACTTAAACTTGACACGTCTCTGAAACTGAACTTACTATCTTTCTCTTCTCTATAGCTGTGCTGCCCTTTTTCGTTCAGGTCCTCCCCTTCAATAAGAAACCTTTGGCCTTCTCTTTTCTCTTTATTTATCAAACCGGACAAATCGCTAAGTCCGGTTTGATTCTCTATATATTTCAGACAATGTGTATGTCTTAGTTTAGATCGCCCCCAAACAGCCCTGGAGACAAGATCTGGGTGCGGGTAGTCAGAGGTGGAGATGATCCCAGGATGCAGGGGTAAGGAAATGAGAAGTGTAAAAAGTGAAGAATGGGTTCTTGAATTGGTTGGTGCTACGGGTAAGCAGGGCTTACTTCCAGCGGGGCTCTCTGAGGAAGTGTGTAGAACCAGGACTCAAACTTCAGAGAGAACCTGGGCGTACTCCTTTAGTTCGGAAATGCCCAGGTCCCAGCCGCGGGACTGATTCAGTAGCTTGGGAACGGGCCCGGGAGCCTGCGTGTTAAACAGAGATCCCAGGGATTCTAATGCTGGCAAGTCCCCGGGCACACTCAGAGAGTCCAGCGCAAATCGCAGCTCAGAGCGACAACGCTCGCCCCCGGGCCACCCAGCCAGCCCGGGCGCGGGAGGCGGAGAGCTGCCGGGAGCGCCCAGGGTCCAGCTTTCCCACTCCCTCATCAAAGCCTCCGGCAGCCAGGACCTAGTTTCCCAGGCGACAGGGCGACGCGTCGCGATGACGTCAGGAGGCACGGGGTCTGGCCCCGCCCACGGAGTAGACGGAGGCCGAAAGGCCCCTTGGACTGGGACACAGCTCTCTGGGACACAGCTGCGGCCGGACAGGTATCCGCTGCGCTGTGCTGTGTGTGCTGGACTGTGTGGGGCCCGGGACCGGGTGAATCCGAAGGTGAGGTCTGGGGCCTGAGAAAGCCTTGGGGACCGGGGAGAAGATGCAAAGACTCGGGGCGCGCGGGGGGAGCAGGTGCAAAGGCCCAGGGGCGCAGCAGGGGAACCACAGGTGCAAAGGGCGAGGGGCGCTGGGAGGCCGCAGGTGCAAAGGCCCAGAGTGGGGGACGAGGGGGAACCACAGGTGTGAAGGGCCGGGGGCGCTGGGGGGGGTCTCGCAGGTGCAAAGGCCCAGAGTGGGGGACGAGGGGGAACCACCCGAGCAAATGCAGAGATGGCGCAAGAGGAAAAGGGGACCGACAAGGGGGAACCGAATGAGCAAAGGTCCAGGAGTCTGGTCGGCTGGGCGGGGTGGGGGTGGGGGAAGAACGCCTGTGCAAAGGACTGGGGACGCGAGGGGCCTGAGATTGCCGAGAAAGCAGGCTGCGAGATCCGGCGGCCAACAGCTGAGGTCGTTGGTGTTTGGAAGGTTTGGACATCGTCGGCCACTGAAGTTACTAAAGGGACCATGATCAGCTTGGCATTCTAAAATCGTCTCTTCTGCTGGCGAAGGAGAAAGACTGGAGATGGCTGTTGTCAGAACAAGGATAGTTAAGGCCCCACTTCTGTACCAAAAGTGTTCCAAAAGCCTTATGTGGATGACAGCAGTGTAGACAGCAGACCTTTGCACCAGTCAAACATCACACTTATCTCCCCTGAGACAGAGAGACATTGCTTGCTAAGGTCACCCAACTTGTAAACTATAATGTTGGAATTTGAGCCCAAGCAGTCTGGCTTCACGATCCGTGCTTGTAACACAGTAAGCTTAGTGATCTGTGGTGGCATAGGGCAAAGGGCATTGGGGACATAATCTGGTTAGGATCCCGGGGTAGGGAGCCAGCTGTGCCAGATAAGAGTTGTATGACCTCGGTCACTTCATGTTAGGAAGCTCCAGTTTGCTCACCTGGAAAATGAGAATGCTGGTAGTATTTGGGCTTGTTAGGCACAGCTGAGATGGTGTAGCTGTTTAACACTTTCACCTGCACGTAGTATTTGCTGGAGTATGATAGGATTATCAGGAGTAGCAATAAATGAAAGGAGTCTGTAGGGCAGTGGTTCTCAACCTGTGGGTCGCGACCCACAGGAACTGTATTAAAGGGTCACAGCATTAGGAAGGTTGAAAACCACTGCTGTAGGAATTAAAGAGATATAGGGGGGTCTTGGTAATTAGTTCAAGGCATGAAGGAGAGAAGATTTCTAGGGTGACACTCAGGTTTACAGCTGGAGTAATCCCTAGGCCACTGGCACTGTGGAATTAGCAACTACTGGGGGACACACTGAATTCAGTGTTGAACATTCAGTGTGAGATGAGCACGTGAGCTGGAGGTTTGGATTTGAGATCTCTCCACGCATCAAGGACAATTTAAATGCATGCAATTGATGCTGGAGTTTCGCTCTTCAGTAGGGTCTTGGTCTCGGTGATTTGAGGAATGAATCCACAGACCACAGATCAGTGGTAAGACAGGATTTATTTACAGAAAAGAATACAGAAGCGCCAGAGCTCTTACCAGAGAAAACCCAAGTCAGGGGAGAAAAGCTCTATGTCTCTCCCTGGGCTTTTTGTCTAGAGGTATATATAGTCACATGGGGCCCTCTGTAGTTACATTTAGCTGGGCTTGGTAGTTACATTTAGCATATCTGGGACATGTCCAGGATGTGAATGATTGGCTATAATGCCTTTCATTCCCAGGCCCAGGAAACTTACATGAAATTGGCCAGGTCTAGAAAATGGGAGGGTGGTTCCTGTTCAGCCTAAGGTGCTAGTGTCTCCCCAGCAGTTGTCTGGGCCCTCTGGCTACTGGAGCCTCCTGGAGGGCCCCCCTGTCTACCCTCCAGCCCACTGGTTCCTCTGCTCCCTGCCACTGCATCAACATCACCAAGGCAGAGGCAACCCGTCTGCACCCGCCTCCAGCTCCATAAGCTGGCTGGGATGCCACTTGTCCTGTATCACAATGATGCAGAGAGAGTGGCTAAGGGTGAGAGTATGCTAGGACAGTGGTCCCCAACCAGAGACTGGTTTCATGGAGGACGTTGTTTTCCACAGACTGGGAGGGCGATATATGGTTTTGAGATAATTCAAGTGTGCTTTGTTTAGAATGCACTTTATTTCTATTATTATTATACTCTGTATATAATGAAATAATTGTCTAACTCACCATAGTGCAGAATCAATGAAGGCCCCACTGAGTTTGGCCCTGAGTTTGTTTTCCTGCAAGTAGGTGGTCTCATCTGGGAGTGATGGAGATGGCGACACCCAAAGGGTGTTGCTCATGACCAGTCTACTCCAAATCTTCATTTTGGTTGCTATCTCTGCAAGAAAACTCTGCTTCACTAAGATAGGATGTTGGAAATGGAAGAGGCTTCTCTGTGTTTTTGTGGCAATCTCAAGCTATTCTACCTTGACTTTATTTATTTATTTGCAGTTTTTGGCTGGGGCTGGGTTCGAACCCACCGCCTCCGGTATATGGGGCTGGCACCCTACTCTTTTGAGCCACAGGCGCCACCCTTGACTTTATTTTAATACAGAAAGTATGGAGGTTTGAAATTGACTCAGATATACTTTTAAGGTCATTTGTGATCTCCAGCAATTGATCCTCTTTAACACGGATGAGGTCAATTTACCTGGCTTATTCACAAATGGGTCAGACACCCAATCCTCCCCAGTTCAGGGGTCTTTCGTGTTTGGGAAGTAATGTTCAAGCTCTTTTGAAAGCTGAGAGAGGTGATTATGCACCAGCTGGGAGAAAGATGGCCCTGGCTCAGTCTTTTTCATAATCTCTGTTAATGTTTGAAAGGTAAAAAATTCCATATTTCCAGTTTGGCTTTGAATGCAGCCACTTTATCTGCCGACTTGAACACAGTTGTTGTTCTCCCCTAAAGTGACAGGTTGAGTTTCACTGAGCATGTTGAATATGTCACATAAGTAAGCAAGTTTTGCACCTCATTCTGTGTCACTGAAATGCGTTGCCAGTAGTGACTATCTTTCTGAAAGAAATTTTTGGAGCAGCTCTCATAACTCAGAAACTTTGGCCAGTGATCTACTTTTAGAAAGCCATCTCACTTCTGTGTATAAGAGAAGATGTGTGCTCTGTGTCTATCTCCTTATAGAGCTGTGCAAACAGATATGAATTACTTTAATGAGGTTGATGATTTTACTGTATTTTGCCATGTATAATGCATACTGAAGTTTATTGCCCAAACTTTGAGCAAAATGCCTCTCTAGAAAGGGGGCAGCTCTTGCCTAGGAGAGACACATCTGGGGAGAGCTAATGCTCTGCTGGTAAATGTGCAGATTGCACCACCCTTCTGCAGCTGCCACTCGGTGAAGGCTGCCCTTTCCCTCTCTGCTGGGAGCCCTTATCTCCCTGCCACAACCCTTAGGACCATAGCTGAGAGGGCCACACATGTGGCCACCAGAGTGAAAGCTGCTGAGGACACTCAGCCCCTATGAGGCTCCTGGTCTCCTCTGCATAGCTGGACTTCAGGCCTTAATCACCCTCACAGCTGTGGCCTACCTCCCCAGTCCCACCACTACCCCCTCTCCTGATTGCAGTGCTGGGCTGAGGCTGCTCTGGCCCATTCCCACTCCCGCCAGATCCCAGATCCTCCTGGACTTGAAACCTATACACCTGGGGGACCCAGGAGGGAGGGCACAGAAGCTCCAGGAGGCCTACTGGGCTTTCCTGCTCCTGAGGCATGTTACCAATGTATAATTTATATCCTTATTTTCCCCTCAAAATGTTGGGCAAAAAAAGTGCACATCGTACATGACAAATATGATAATTACATCCTGTAAAACATTATTCCGGTGACTTTTTCAGCTAGCCAGCTTATGTCTATGGATGAGACAGTGCGAAGACTCACATTCAGAATCGACATCCTTAACTCAAGTAGTTTAATCCAGTTTTCATGTTATGTAATCTTTCAAAGATTTGAACAGTTCTGGAGCCGTGGTGATGGTTGGCACAAAAGTGCCATAACACATCCTCATGCACACCTTCTTAAAATATGTCACACAAAAACAAGTATTATTGCCTTGTTGTCAATGTCGGTAGACTCACCAACCTGGAGGATTGCTCTCCATTAACCCTCTCTAACTATCGTGCCTCAGTATCCTCTGCTGTTTCATCGGTGCATCTAGGCAGGGTGCTAGCTGAAAGAGGAATACATGCCACCTTTTGAACTGCAGATCTCCTAAAAGTTCACGGCAAATGTCCTTCGCAGGAGGCAGGATCAGTTCCTCACCAGTAGTAAAGGGCTTCTTAGCTTTAGCAGTGGGGTTATCCATCTGCAAATAAAAATAGGTTTCAATCTGGACAGCTTTTATTTCATTTTCTTCCCTGATTACACTAGCTAGAACTTCCAGTACGATGTTGAGTAGAAGGCGTAGAGTGGATAACCCTGTCTTGTTCCTGATCTAAGGGAGAAGATTTTCATTCTTTTGCATTTAAGTTTGATGATTGCTGTGGGTTTTTTGTAGATGCTCTCTATCAGTGGGATGATGTTCCCTTCTGTTCCTAACTTGTCAAGAGTTTTTTTTTTTTTTAATCATGACAGAGTGTTGGACTTTGTCAAATGTTTTTTCTGCATTTGTTGACATGATCGTGTATTTTTTGTGTGTCTTTTTTTCTGTTGGCAAGGTGTATTAGTTGATTTTCAAATGTTGAACCAATGTGTATTCCTGAATTAACTCTCACTTGGTCATGACATGTGATCCTCTTTACATCTTGCAAAATTTTGCAAAATTTTGTTGAGCAATTTTGCTTCTACATCAGGAGAGATCTTAGTCTCTAGTTTCCTTGTGATGTCTTTGTCTGGTTTTAGTGTCAAGGTAATACTGGCCTCATCCAGTGAGTTAGGAAATATATTTTTCTATATTCTGAAAGAGTTTGAATAAGTGGTAATCTTTAAACGTTAGGCAGAATTCACAATTAAAACCCTCTGGTTTTTCTTTGTGGGCAGTTAAATACATTTAAATTGCACATGAACTTTATGTCTACTCCGTATTAAATATTGACAGCCAATTGAATCTCTTTAATGTAGATTTGTTCAGATTTCTGTTTCTCATACATCAGTTTTGATAGATTGTCTTTCCAGGAATTTCATCTAATTGTCGGCATGCTGCGGTTTGTACTATTTCCTTAGAATGCTTTTTTTTTTTTCTATAAAGTTAGTGGAAATGTCCCATCTTTGATTCCTGGTTAGGAATTTGTGTGTTTTCTCTTTTTCTTTTTTTCTTCTTCTTTTTTTATTTTTGCAGTTTTTGGTCAGGGCTGGGTTTGAACCTACCACTTCTGGCATATGGGGCTGGCACCCTACTCCTTTGAGCCACAGGCACCACCCTCTTTTTTTTTTTTTTTTGTAGGTAATACATTATACATTTTATTTACAAAATCAAGACTATAATGAAACACAAGGAACCCATACTGAAGGAAAATGTTCTACATCAAAACTTCTTTGAAAGAGTGTAGATTTGTGTGTTTAAAATTAAAATGTTTATGGTACCTATTTATTGTTTTCTATGGTTTCTCAGTTTAACTGATTATTTTCAGGTAGGGGACTAAATATCCATCCAGATAACATTGGATAAAAAGGCTTCTACTGAGTGTCTGTATGACTATCTCTGTTTGAATGTTGATTTTTTTTTTCTTAGTCCTTTTTTCTCTGCTTTTCTTTTTGATTTTTCTTTTAGAGGCAGTCTCACTCTGTCCCCTAGTCTGAGTGCCATGGAGTCAGCCTACCTCACAGCAACCTCAAACTCCTGGGTTCAAGCGATCCTCTTCCCTTAGTGTCCCAAGCAGCTGGTACTATAAGGCACCCACCACCACACCAGGCTAATTTTTCAATTTTTAGTGGAGACAAGATCTCCCCCTTGCTCAGGCTGACCTCCAACTCCTAGCTCAAGGGATCCTCCCACCTCAGCCTCCCAGGGTGCTGGGAGCCACCATTCCAGGTTTGTTTTCTCTCTTTTCAATTTCATCAGTCTTGCTAAAGATTTGCCAATTTTGCCAGTCTTTGCAAAGAACCAACTTTTATTTTTATTGATTTTTTTTTTTTTTTTTTTTTTTTTTGGTTTTTGACTGGGGTTGGGTTTGAACCCGCCACCTCTGGTATGTGGGGGCCGGTGCCTTACTCCTTTGAGCCACAGGTGCCGCACTTCATAGATTTTTTTTTTTCTTTTTTTTTTTGAGACAGAGTCTTGTTTTGTTGCCCTCTGTAGAATGCTGTGGTGTCATAGCTTACAGCAACCTCAAACTCCTGGGCTCAAGTTATCTTCCTGCCTCAGCCTCCCAAGTAGCTGGGACTATAGGTACCTGCCACAGTGCCTGGCTATTTTTTTTTTTTTTTCCAGTTTTTGGCCGAGGCCGGGTGTGAACCCACCACCTCTGGTATATGGGGCCAGAGCCCTACTCCTTTGAGCCACAGGCTCCGCCCAATGTCTGGCTATTTTTTAAGAGTGTCTCACTCTTGCTCAGGCTGTTGTCAAACTCCTGAGCTCAAGCAATCCACCCACCTCTGCCTCCCAGAATGCTAGAATTACAGGTGTTAGCTACCACACCTGGCAATTTTTCTCTTTTATTTTCCATTACTTGTTGCTTAATTTTTTGCTATTTTCTTCCTTCTGTTAGCTTTAGGTTTAGTTTGTGCTGCTTTTTCCTCTGTCTGAAGGTGGTACTTTCTCATACATCAGTTGAGACGTGTGACTTTGGAGTTAGACCTTGCTAGGCCAGACCTCTTCTCCCCACTTCTTGGCAGAGGGGGCTCTCTGAGCTTTAGTTTTCTTTCCGTGGGGATGGTAGGATTTGCCTCACAATTATTAGAGGGTTAAATAATATGCTTTCTGTGGGTCAGGGTCCCTGGGCCACAGTTTGGCAATCCTGGGGGTTGAGGTGGCCTGGATGTCCTGATCTCCCCAGCAGTTGACATGTTCTCAGCCATGGCTATGGCAACATAAAACAAAACCCTCAACAAACCCACTAGACTCTGCCCCCCGTGACCCTGGTCGTGCCACTCACCTGGAAGTGTTGCAGTGCTGGCCGTGGGCTGTGGCTGTCTCTCTTCTCTCTCTGTCACCTTCTGTTTAGGGATACAGCGAGGAGAGGACTGTGGGTGCAGGCTACCCCTGGGGTGGTTCCCTTGGCCGACCCTTTGGCTTTAGTTTGTTCTTTTTACTTCCAAGTGTAACATGTGGGTTTCACTGCTGCTCATGGGTGGCATGGATCCATAGAAAGGAACTCGTTGACTCAGGCTGTGTATCTTGTGCAGGTGGCAACACAATGACGCCCACTGTGGAGGGAGGCCCTGAGGCTCTGCTCCCCGATTTTCCCAGAGGACCCCTCCACGCCTACCGAGCCAGGGCATCCTTCAGCTGGAAGGAGCTGGCGCTGTTCTGGGAAGGCGAGGACATACTCCGCTTTAAGGTGACTGTCTGTGGCTGTGCAGTGCTTGTCTCGTTGGTCCCCAGTGAATCTAGCAAGTAACTCAGCTCACTGGCAAAATTGGGTTTATGGCCCTTAAAGCCGCTTCTCAGTGGGGTGAGGCTGGCCTTTCTCCTCTGCACCCCAGGATGGGCCTCAGGAATAAGGAATATGAGGATGACACAGAGCATCAGGCCCCCATGTTTTAGCAACTGTCTCTGGGTCAGACTGTGTCCCACAGCGGCCTTGAGAAAAACGGTATAAGTAAGAAGATACTGAGATTCCGCTTTTGTCTCCAAATACCCTATCCCTCTCTCCTGTGTTTTCAGAAAACCATCTTCTCAGCTTTGGAGAGTGACCCTCTCTTTGCCCACTCCCCGGAAGCCCAGCTGTCCTTGGAGAAGTACCGTGAGCTGAACTTCCTGCGGTGTAGGCGGATCTTTGAGTACGACTTCCTCAGTGTGGAAGACGTATTTCGGAGCCCTCTGAAAGTGTCGGCTTTGGTTCACTGCCTAGGGATGTACGACTGGTCCCTGGCTACCAAATACCTCCTCCACGTCCTGGTGCGCATGTGGCAAAGGAGGGTGGGGGAAGTGTCAGAGGAGTTCCACTTTTTTCAGTTGTATTTGCAAATTTGCACACATAAATCCTTGAATAAGACATAGTGCTGTGAAGTTTAAAGTCCATAAGAAGAGGAGGAGCTTTAGAACTTTTTTTTTTTTTTGCTTTGTACAAAAAAAGACAATGAACTTGTGCTTGTCTTCCTTCCCAGCATTGCCCCCGCCCTGCCCGGACCGTGGTGGTTTCTGTCTGCTCCATGCCCCCTCAATCTCTCCCTTATCCCCCACTCAGTTTCATGTCTCCCTACCATTGTCAGGTCTTACCAATAATATGAACTCAGGGCCCCAGACCAGCCGAGTTTAGGGAGACCCTGGATCTTGGATGTCAGTGCTGTTGGCTGACCTCTGGGAGCTTCGTTCTCTGCAGTGAAAGGATGTGTTGGTGGAGACCTGAGATGGGGCCAGGGCAGTTGTGGTGGTGTGTGTTAAGTTCATTGTCAGTTGTGAACTTCCAGAATAGCAGGATTCTTCTTAACTGCCATCTATTTATATTTACATGATGGTGCTATATTTACAGGTTTTTGGATCAGCAGTTTACAACTCTGGTTCTGAAAGACATTTCAAATACATTCAAAAGCTTTTAAACATGGAGGTAAGTTCAGGGTCATGGTGAACTATGAGCCCAGTTCTCTTACCTATTCTGCGTAAAGATTTGTGAAAAGGGAAGATGGCAATAGAGGGTTCTCTGGGGTTGTACTTTTCTTGCCTGTGGTGGTCTAACGTTTCTCATCAAATTGCTAATATGATTCTTCACCAAACATGGTGCCTCAGATCCTGGCACTGTGAACATACTGCGAAGCCTTCCACTTTCTTCTGACTGGAGCAGTTCTTGCCACTGTGCTGACTTGGAGAGGCCACTGCCAACCTGGTTTAGCCCACCATCCTCTCTGCCTGGGCACGTGTGGGTAGCATGACAGAGTGACCCGGGCTCATCACTAGTTGGGTAAATAGTAAATGGAGCTTTGGGGTTTTGATCCATAGTTTAGTCTTTAAAGGAAAGAAGATGGTGGCAGGGTCCCTCTAGTGACGACACCAAGAGCTCTGCTTGCTTTACATTGTTCTGCGCTTCAACATGTAGATTTTTGGATGTTTTGCCCTGACGGAAATAAGTCACGGAAGCAACACCAAGGCCATCCGAACGACTGCGCACTACGATCCTGCCACCAAGGTGGGTGTTACCTTCCCATTGTCTCTGGGTTTATATGAAATGTCATGAGTGCAGATGAAATTGCCATGAATAAAAAAAAAATAAAACCAAGTAGCCTGTGCTTATAAAACACACTGAGATTCACCACAGTGAATAGCAGGAGCTCAGGAGTTACCAGGTTGAGAGGCAAAACTGTGGTCACCGTGACCTTTACAGGGAGCGCAAGGAGGAAGTCTGCAAAGTGTTGGGGTAGAGAGCAGTTCTGACTGCCCGTGCTCTGTGCAGTGAGCAGTGTGGGGATGGTGTCCGACCCTCCCTGCGCAGCTGCTCCTCTGCCTGTCTGCTGGGGCAGTGGCCTCCTCTGTTCCTGCCCAGTGTGGTCTGGCTTCTCGGGTCCTGGCCATCTTGATAACTTCTCTGTGGCATCTCCACCGTGGCTGCTGCCTGATACATCCATTGAGCACTGTGCATGCTGGTGCTACTGTCTGCAGGGAGGGACACATGAGCTGGCCCTATTCTTGGGAGCTTCCGGCATGGTAGAGGGAGGCCAGCCACACATAGATAGGCTCGTGGCTCGTGATGTGTTGGGGTGCCTAGTGCTATGGTAGGGCTTGGGGCAGGGGAGAGGATGAGAAGGGCCTGTCTCGTCTTCCCTCTGTATACCCTCTTCCTCCCACTACCCCAGTCTCCTGAGCCTCCACTTGTCTCTGAGGGCTGTGTCTCCCTGCCTGTCCCTCTGCCTGTCTCTCCTCACCACCCCAGTGTTTTGGGAGCCACTCATCTCTCTCTCTCCACTGGTAGAGGTGGTTGGAAGAGTGCTTGGCAGCAGGAAATAAAGCTGTGCCTATATGTTTAATCATCATTCATTTGTTCACTCAACAACACGGGCGAGTGGGAGCTCTAAGTCCGGGTGCTGCACAGAGGAACCCAGGAGTGGACCTGTGTGGAGCTCCCAGCCAGGGCCAGGGACCATAAGAGCTGATCCCCATGTAGTATGACACAGGCTGCACAGTGGGGTCTTCAGAGTAGAGCTGAGGATCTTCTGCATCAGGGTAGGGCTGATGGAAAGCTGGGCACAAAGGCCCTCTTGGGATTTTATTTCTTTAAGTCATGTGGCATCTTTATCTGAACCCAGATCTACAACCCCCAACCCCTTCTCCTTCACTGCCCTCTGTTCCATGGCCCTGCAGTGCTGGGGGCAGGAGTGAAGGACCGTGGTGGGCATGGCATGACGTCTGAGGAGCATTTCTCTACCTACTTTCTCTTGGTGGGCTGAAAGTGAAGATGGGAGGGTGAGGTCAGGTCCATCAAGATGAGATTTCCAGGAGCCTGGCCCAGGGTGCCGGCTGTGCCTTCATCTAGACCAGCGGTTCTCAACCTGTGGGTCGCGACCCCTTTTAACAATGAAAATACATCCTGCATATCAGGTATTTACATTACGATTCATAACGGTAGCAAAATTAGTTATGAAGTAGCAATGAAAATAATTTTATGGTTGGGGTTCAGCACAACATGAGGAACTGTATTAAAGGGTCGCGGCAGTGGAGGCATTAGGAAGGTTGAGAACTGCTGATCTAGATGACAGACATTTGTTGTGTGCTAGACGTGGCTTTCCGAGACAGGGCAGGATGCATGAGCACAGCAGGAAGTGAAGTTGCAGACTGAGGTCACAAGCCAGGTGCCATGGAGACCCTCTGAAGGGTAGGCTAGAGTGACAGATGCAGGGGACAGGCTGGGAGAGTGAAGGATGCAGTGGAGCCTGCAGAGGTGATGGCCCTGTGGGAGGTGGGAGCCAGCCTGGCACTCTGCACCTGCAGAGGACAGGAACCGGTGGAGCTATCAGAGCTGCTGTGCTGAAGAGTGGGCAGGGAGGGCTGGCCGATGTGGGGACACCCCCACTCACCCTGGCAGATGACAAGCTGGTGTTCCCTGGGAGAACAGAAGGTGCAGCTGGCAGCCACACCCCCAACCAGCCCCAGCTCACTGCTGGATTACATAAAGACACCCCCAGCTTTCCACCCTGAGGGAAGGGACCCCAGAACTTCCCCTGGCAGTGAAGGGCTGAGCACAGCCAGGTGCCTGGCAATCAGCTGTCTCCCAGACACCCAGGGCAGCTGCACCAATCCTGCTTGCACCAGGCAGTCCTGCCTTTAGGGACTCTGTGGCCTCCCCCACCCCCTTACTTGTGGGCTTCCTGGTGCTTGCCCTGGGCAGTTCCAGTCACCCCAACTCCCCCCTGCTCTCCTCTCACTGAGCACTCACTGTGTCCTGGGGTACCTATCCTTGCCCCTTCTAGCCAAACACTGAGCACTGTGAGACCACAACTGGCTCTTCATGAGTTCCCTCATTTCTTCTGACTTTCTGAGTGTCACTTTTGCCAGGGACATTTGGGGTATAGCCCTCAATCATGGAGCATATAGTTGAGGGAGACAGATGGAAAAACAATAGTGTGTCCTGAGTAAGAAGTTGGTAGGGGACAGCGTGGCAGGCCGTTGAGCAGGGCAGAGGATTTTGCTTAGAGCGCAGTTGGGCACAGCCTCTGACTAACTGGGGGCCTACAAAATATTTTGCATCTGTTGTATTGTTTGAAACATTGGTCATCATTTTCCATGGAAAGGTTGTTCTTTAAAGTCATAAGACCCAGGAATATGCTTTGTTTAAAAAATATGTCCTACCTGTGCTGTACAAGAAATAAAATATAGCATCAGCAATCTTGCCTCAAAGATTGTGAGCATAGAAAATTGAATTTATCAAAAAGGAAAGCATTCTACATATGTTTCAGATGCTAACTATAACTTCAGCACTTTTTCCCTTGTGCAGGAATTCATTATACATTCCCCTGATTTTGAAGCTGCCAAGTTTTGGGTTGGAAATATGGGCAAGACGGCTACCCACGCTGTGGTGTTTGCCCAGCTGCACATGCCCGGGGGCCAGTGCCATGGCCTACATCCCTTTGTTGTGCAGGTAGGACTGGGGTGTGGTCCCCAGGGAACATTCGGCAGTGTCTGGAGATGGTTCTGTTAAAATTGGCAGGAGTATGCTCCTGACATCCAGTGAGTAGAGACCAGAGATGTTGCTGATGTGCAGAGGACAGCCCTTCCCTCTACCCCAGGGAAGGACTGTCTAGCCCGAAGCATCAATAGCACCACTGTTGAGAGAGCCTGCCCAACACTGCTGGCCGTGGGAGCTATGGGCCTCAGATCTTCTGGTTGAGAATCTCCCTGTCCTCTGAGAGGCTGCATTGGTGTGGCCTCAGATGCTTGTTAGGAATCTAGATTTCCTGGCCCCATCCTCCCAAGACCTTCTATTCAGGAGGTATGAGGGGGAATATAGGAGTTCTGGGAATCCCAGTGTGCCACTGGGGTGCTTCCTGGGACTGATGGCTGGGCCAGGACTCAGCTTGGACTTCCTGCCTCCCCTGTGGGGACCTGGAGCTTCTAGAAGCTTGTCCAGAGCCTTCCTCTCTGGGCTGACTTGATATTGAATTAAGTACCCTCAACCTTTGCTACCTCATTCTGGCATTTTTATCCCATGATACTTTTCTGATCAGGAGGGGTGCTTATGACAGAAAAAAAATAGCCATGGCTTTTTTTTTTTTTTTTTGGTAGTTTTTGGCCAGGGCTGGGTTTAAACCCACCATCTCTGGCATATGGGGCCAGTGCCCTACTCCTTTGAGCCACAGGCACTGCCCAGTCATGGCTTTTTTTTAAAAAGTGAGGTGAAATTCACAGAGCAAGCAGTTAACCATCTTGTGGTGAAGAGTTGAGTGACATTAGTGCATTCACAGTGTCATATGTCCACCACCTCTAATTCTGAGATGTTTTCGTCTCTCTAGAGCAGTGTTTTTCAACGTTTTGTATCTCATGGCTCATTTGAACCCGTAATAAACTTTGGCAGCACACTTAAATTATGCTGATGTGAAAAAAAAGAATATATTTACTGTGCTTTGAGCTTCTTTTGAAAATAATTTAATGAGTGATCTTTAAAAATATTCGCAACGTACCTGGGTTCCTCTCATGGCGCACCAGTGTGCCACAGCACAGCAATTGAAAGTCTCTGCTGTAGAAAGACCACCCTGTACCCAAGAAGCAATCACTACCCATTCCCTGTCCCTCAAGCAACCACTAATCTCCTTTCTGTTTCTCTGGATTTGCCTATCCTGGGCATTTTATATAAAAGCAATCATAAAATAGGTGGCATTTTGTATCCAACTTCTTTCACTTAGCACAATGTTTTCAGGGTACTTCCACATTGTGACACAAGCTGGTACTTCATTTGTGTCTCTTGGCTGAATAATAGTCCTAGCGGGAGGGACCACAGTCTGGCTATGCACTGGTCCATTGATAGACATTTGGGTTGTTTTCACCTTTTGGCTATTGTGAACAAGGCTGCTATGAGAACACTGGAAATAAATATCTAAATATTTTCTTTAAAAAAGAATATATTCTTGGGCGGCACCTGGGGCTCAAGGGGTAGGGTGCCAGCCCCATATGCCAGAGGTGGTGGGTTCAAACCCAGCCCCAGCCAAAAACTGCAAAAAAAAAAAAAGAATATATTTTTTTCAAATTTTTCAGTTCTTTTGGATATTCTGAGTGGAATTGCTAGATCATGTAGCAATTCTATGTTCAACTTTTTGAGGGCCCGCCTTACTGTTTCTACGGTGGCTAATGTTACATTGCCACTTGCAATGTATGAGGTGGCCAATTCTTCACATCCTTACCAACACTTGTTACTTTTTTTTAGTAGCCACCCTGGTGGGTGTGAAATGGTTCTGCTTTAGTACAAATTCCCTATTTCTTTAAAGCCGGTTTCTCTACTTGGGCACTAATGGTGGTAGGGCTGGGTGATGCTCAGTGGAGGGGTGTCCCATGTCCTTGAGGGAGTACCACTATGTACCCATCCTGTACCACCCAATGCTAGCAGCTCCCTTCATTTAGGACAACCAAAAGTCTCTCCAGACTTGGCCCAGCGTCTCCTGGTGGGAAAGTGGAAGGTGGAAGTTCCCCTAGTTGGGGATCTTTGCTTCCAAGGTGTCCAAACACAAAGCTCCCAGGCCTTTCCCTTGTGTTCCCATGGTGAGCAGCCATAGCTGGCTGGATCTGTCACTTGGAGGTAAGTATATTCGTTGGAAACTCATTTTGAGGTGCGGAGATTTGACAAAATAATCTCAGCTGTTTCTCCTCCAGCAAACACAAGGATAGCCATTTTGCCATTTTGTTAGACTCCAACAGAAAGTCGTGTATCTAAAACTTGGAAGGTGAGATTCTGATGGCTTCCCCAGGAGATTTGCTAACTGGCTACTATGTCTGTCAGTCTCTCTCGGCTGCTGCATTAAAGCGTCACAGATTGGGGACTTCAAACAATACACACTTGTTCTCCCAGTTCGGGAGCCTGGAGTCTGAAGTCAAGGCATCTGCAGGCCAAGCTCCTTCTGTGGGCTCCAGGGGAGGATGCTCCCTGTCTCTTCAGCTCCTGGTGGCCCTAGGAGTTTCTGGGTTTGTGGCCACAGCACTCCACTGTCCGCCTCTGCCCTCACCCGGCCCCCTCTTCTTCAAACTCTTACAGGACACTTGCCAGGCGATTCAGGGCCCCTGGGTAATCCAGGGTTATCTATCTCATCTCTATACCCTTAACTTCATCGTTACATCTGCAAAGACCCTATTCCAAATAAGGTCGTATTCCCAGATCCCAAGGTTGGGAATATGACTTACCATTTCTAGGGGGCATAGTTTAACCCACAGCCACCCCTGTGAGTCCTTGGGGTTTGAATGCACTTATTTGGATTTTCATGTGATCTTAATAGTCACCATTTGCTTTCTGTGGCTTTGCACAGATTCGGGACCCAAAGACCCTTCTTCCCATGCCAGGGGTGATGGTCGGCGACATAGGAAAGAAACTCGGGCAGAATGGTCTGGATAACGGGTGAGTAACCAGCAGTGCTCAGTGCTAAGATGCCTGCGAGCACCACGTGCTATCACACATCTGCAATCTCAGTGCTGTTACCTGGCCCCTTAGACGCAAATCTGGGGGGACCTATAACTCACCTCTGAGCTCCACCTCATCATCTTGCTTTGCCCCAGCAGGGGCAGCTCCCGCTCTCACCTCAGGCCAGGCCCCGCCTGCAGCTGGTGGAGCCTCTCCCTTATCCCCTGTGTAGGGACCATGTCAGTGTCCCGAAACAGGGCTCGGCCTCACCAGGCATCCACTCTGAGCTCAAGGGACCCATGTCTGCAGCGACTGCCTCTGCTTGCCCCTTTGCCAGTGGCCTCCGGGGTTTAGCACTTGGGGGAGAGAGTTCTGTGGCTTCACTTGTTTCGTCAGACCTCAGACCGTCCCATAACAGCGTGCTGTATGGCACGGGATCTGAGTGTGCTGGACCACAGATACTTCTGGGCATTTGCTCTTGAGGTACGGCAGGGCCTATGGGTCGTCTTGAAGTGGCTGGGAGGAAGTCCTCAGCTCAGTGGCCTGCCCAGCAGAGCTGGTCTGGGACACCCTGCAAGGATTTTAGAGCTGATTAACAGCATGAGCTTTGGAATCAGACGGATTGAGATTTTAGCTCTTTGTGTTATCTTGATGAACTTTCTATCCTATTTCCTATCTGTAGAGTGGGCATGACAAGGGCAGTCCTTGTGCTGGGCCCTTCTGGGGTGGTTGTTCTGGCCCTTGGCTGTGCCGCTGCCTTCCTTACCTGTGCAAACAGGAAGTCCGGCCCCGCTGGGTTTGGGCCCTTCTGCACCCATGAGTTAATTTCTGACTGAGGAGGAAGTGAGGCCTGGGTGTTCCTGGATCTGGTGTCCTATGTTACGTCTCCAGGACGTTTATGGACTTGCTGCTTCATAATAAGGCTGTTGTCAAAGTCAAGGAGGCCTCCCTATGGGTGGCACCACCTGGCTGCCCTTACCTGGCTCTCAGGCATAAGGTAGGAGACAGGTCATACCCAACCATGGTGACACCTCTCCATGTGTCCTTTGTGACAAGTTGGGGTGCTAGGGAACAGTGTCTCAAATCTCTCCTTGGGCCTTTAAAATAGGAAGAGTCTAGGACTGCAACAGAGAGGGCAACAAACCATTGATTTTTATGCAGTGTCAGCTTCGAAGTAAAAGGACATTGTTAAAAAGCAAAGTGAGACACACGTGCACAAAACCCTCCTAACTGACTTCTATCTTTCAGAATCCTGAACTCTCTCTCTGGCTTATACAAGGAACCTGTTGATTAATATTAGAACTGTCAGGAAGGAGGAAGCCCACCCAGGCTAGGGCTGGAAACTCCTTTAAATCATTGTTTCATTGGGGCACGTGGGAGGCTTTTGGCAGGGATGGTGCCCGGTGGCATGTACAGAGATTCACTCTTCTGGCCCTCTCTCCTTAATCCTAGGGGAAGTCGCCTAGCACCCAGTGCGGGGAGTGACACAGTTTGGTCTGTCTGAGAAAGATAGCTCTGGCCTCAGGGTGAAAGGCATCGAGCTTGTTCAGGAATAGGGTGTGGCAGGGACTGTCTTGCTGTACATGGACGTAAGGCCCAGTGGGGATGTTCTCCTCAGACATGTGGTGATGGTAAATTATCACATCCCATGGGTTGCATCAGTTTTGATTAAGGTTCTCTGCTCACTATTCATTCCATTTAACAAATTTGAATTTAACATTATTTTGAAACATTACAAAAATAGAAAAACTCTGCCTTTGGTTCCCCTTAAAGAAACTCAGATTTCTTGAGATATGTGGATATCCTCATCTCTTATTGGGATTCTTGTTGGGAAGATATTCCAAGAAGCATTCAATCAAGCCACTTATAAGACGTTGATGGCTCAGCTCCTGTGGCTCAAATGGCTAAGGTGCCAGCCACGTACACCTAAGGTGGCGGGTTCGAATCCAGCCTGGTCCCGCCAAACAACAATGATGGCTGCAACCAAAAAATGGCCGGGCGTTGTGGTGGGTGCCTGTGGTCCCAGCTACTTGGGAGGCTGAGGCAGGAGACTCGCTTGAGCCCAGGAGTGGGAGGTTGCTGTGAGCGTGATGCCATGGCACTCTACCCAGGGGGATAGCTTGAGGCTCTGTCTCAAAATAAAATAAAATAAAATAAAATAAAGACATTGATACAGTAAGGCTCTTCTAAGATCCAGGAATGCCAGTCACCCTGGGGCACATTGGCAACAGCCTAAAGCAGCTATACCACACCAGAGTCCCTGTGCCTCCTAGAGCCTTTCCACTGCTCCTTTTGCACAGTCAGTGGCAGGAGACAACCAGTGTTGAAAGCAACCTCACTCAACTCCTGAGCCTTCATAGGCCTAGCGACTTGCTGGGACAGGGGCCATGCAGAGTATACCCTCTGCTCTCCACAGAAATAGCTTTTCCCACAAGGGCAGGCTGAGTGTGCACGCCAGCAGGGGGCGCTGCGGTGCCAGAGCATGGCCGTGATTTGAGAGCTGGCTTAAATCTCTGCAATGCTGCCTGCACACTCTAGCGTAAATTATCATTGTCATAATTTATTGATTTTCGTTTTGTCATCAATGTCAAGATATCAGTCTTGAGAAAAGTGGCAACAATTTGTAGTTTAGATTTTTGTCACTTTACAAGAATTTGCCAGTATTTGGATGACTGCCTAGAAATCAGAAGCAAACATAAATTGTGTAGATTAATCTTAGCAAAATAGCTCCAAATGCAGAAAAACAAAGATATTTTCAAGTGATGTTTTCAGCCAGACCCTTACACTGGGCCACAGGTACTTTTCTGTGAAATTGCTCTGAGGTGTGGCAGGGCCCATGAGCCTGGGGACCTGTTCTGAAGTGGCTGGAAGTCTGCTCAGCTGGATAGCCTGCCCAGTGTAGCTGGGCTGGGGGCCATGGGAGGCCCCAGGGAGGAAGGGAACTGCTGGAACATGGAGTGGGAGGCCCAGCAAGGAAGGTGCATTCAGGGCCCACAAGCTGGGCTGCGGTCCTTGAGCTCCAGGTTGTGGGTCTTCTATACCACACTTAGCCCTGCTGTACTACACACAGGTCACCTGTGCTATATCCATGGCCCCTGGTGCACACACACACACCCCTGCCCAGTGCTGCACACTGTGTTCTGTGACACACACGTGCCTGGCACCACATACACACCCCATGGCACACACACCCATCATGCACACACATATCTGGTTGCCCAACCCCCCATATGTGTAAGAAGTCAATCTGTCAAATAAAGAGGTTTATTCTGAGCCCAATTTGAGGCCCATGGCCTAGAACTGGGGTGGGGTCACAGCTTAGTTTTATGCATTTCAGGGAGAGAGGAGATAAAGTCATAAATCAGCCCAGGAAGCCAGGCATTGGTTTGGCCCAAGAAGGTGGGACATCTCAAAGCTGGGGATATAGGTTACAAGGGGGTTTAAAGATTCTTTAGTTGACAATTGGCTGAAAGAGTTAGGCTTTGTCTAATAGAACAAGAGTCAGTGAAAAGGAATGCTGTGTTAAGAGTCTGTTAATCAGAGACGAATTACCAGACATATGCCCAGATACTAGTGGTTTGTTGTGTATGTTGAGGACCAGCAGGTATGTCTTACATAGCTTTAGGCCTGGTAATGAGTCACAGAGGACATCTCTAAGAAGGGGAGGGGGCATGATGAGGCATGTCTGATTTCCTTTCTCGTGGCTAGCAGCTTAGTTTAGGGGATCCCCTTGGCCAAGAGGGGGTCTAGTCAGCCAGCTGCTGGGGCAGAGCATTTAGACCTATGCCCAGCAACAGACACATGCCCCCCCCAGCTGCCCCATCTCACAGGCCCCATGACACATACATGCGCTCTGACAGACACGCCTGGTGCCCTACACATGTCTCCACTGCCTGCTGGGGACACTGAATTCTGACATGCAGGATGCCCCCCCAGTTGGCTATATCTGACTGTTCCTAGAGCTGCTTTTGTGATCAAAGTGATCAAAAGAGAGTGTGTGGAATTTTGCTCTCAGTTAAACTCAAGGGAATACTTGTGCAAGTATAAATATATTCAGATTTGTTTCATTTCTGTGTGGCAAGAATGGTGAAGAGTTTCCACTCCTTAAAAAGGGCACTTTCTGTTACAGAATCACACTTGAAAAAGCATTCCTCAGTTTCCATGTAACAGGCTGGCTTTTTAAGAAAGCCTTGGCACCCAGTCTGGGCTTTCTTAAAAAGTGGGTATGCAGAGTCCTCAGTCTGTGTCACTGTGGCATTTCCAAGGCTGCCGCCTCCTCAGACACCTGAGGCAGCAATATACCCCGTGGGCCGGCTTGGGCAGCAGAGCTGGAGGGCCTTTGCGCAGCAGGTCTCCACTGGCCTTTGCTTTGTGCGGGGGCAGCCACAGAGGCCTGCTAGCCTGGCCTGGAACACCCCTTTGCTAGACGTCCTCAGTGTTCTCTAAGGAATGTGGGAGAGGACTCCCCAGCCCCAGGGTTCTTGCTCTTTCCTGGGTGTGCTGGCAGGTTCTATCCCCAGGGTCATGGGATGGCTTCAGCACTTCAGATGATGTTGTGAGAAGATGCCCAGGAAACTGCTAACAAGGAGCAGGCTCATCAAGGACAATGGCAGTCAAAGGCTGCCACCGAATGAGGACACCCCTGGGGTGCCCTGAGGTCCACCATGTACCTACCCATCACAGGGTGGGTGGAGAATCGTGACGGCTCCTGGGGAGGCAGCAAACTGTGCTCCAAGTCTGCCTGGGGGTTGACAGCAATGTGCAGGCTGTGTCTGGAGGTCAGGAGAGAGCCCAGTTGGGTTGAGGCATCACATTCAGAGGGGATCAAACTATGGCTGCAGGAGGTGGTGCTGTGGGAAGAGCAGCCAAGCTCAGGTTGAGAATTTCACTCATTGTTCTATGGGTTTAGAAGGTGGGTGATCAAACAGTCTCACGCAGCGGGAAGCCTTCCACTGGTGGCTTGGAATAGTCTCTGCTCTGAGTGGAGGGCAGGCTGATGGGGTGGCATCTGGAAAGACCCAGTGAGGAGGTTGTTACAGTGAAGCAAACAGGAGAAGGGGACTGATTTGGGGTACAGAAGGCAGATACATGGAGCTGAAGGGGGAGGAAACTGACAACCCAGCAGAGCTGACAGCCTGGATGTGGCTGGAGGTGACCCCAGTGGAGACCCAGGAGCTGGAGTTAGGGAGAGGCAGCTGGGGGGAGACTCACTCTCCTTTCCCTCAGCAGTCCCCCCACCCGGCCATGTACTGTGGTTCTTTGCATATAGTGTTTTCTGTGGTTTAGTAAAAGAATATTCCTGGAGACATGGCAGGTGATCTTAGTAATTGGTAAGTTGCTATGGGAACTGTTGATGTTTTGACATTTGTTTGGGGGTTCTTTTATGCATAGTTTATGTAATATCCATATGTTTGCATAGATTGTTCCCTAGAGTATTATGAAATAGATTTTCTTTAACTGACAACCATAAAAAAATCTTAGATTATTAATACGTCATGATCCGTAATGATGTGTATATGATCCTATTCTTGGCTGTTCAAAAGAAATGAATTTGCTTGCCTTCTGAGCACTAATGCCAGGACAGATTTTTAGTTTGACTTGAGAGCATTAGACCTCAGTTGGCTCATGGTGCTGCAGGCCCTGGTTTAAGAATCAGAGATTCCAGTCTTTAAACTTGGAATTCCCTCTTTTCTGGTGCATATCCACACTCAGCCTACCCAGGCCTTTCCTCCTGGACACACTCAGGGCAGTCTTCCTGACTGTGGGAGTGAGGCCGTGGCTTCGAAGCTTGTCAGTGTACCGCCAACCTGTGTTGCATGGAAACCCCCACACCACGCCCTATTTTGTGACCTACGCTTTAACGTAGAAAGTCTGTTGGACTTCCTGTTCCCTGTGGCTCTCTGGTTTTCTTTGTCCTTGGGGATTATGTCACCTTTGAAGCTGCCCTTGGGGGAGAAAAGAACAGCCCAGGTTGGACCCCACGTCACAGAAGCCTGCCCTTCTCCCCACAGATTCGCCATGTTCCAGCAGGTACGAATTCCTCACCAGAACCTTCTGAACCGCACCGGAGACGTCACCCCTGATGGTTCCTACCTCAGCCCCTTCAAGGTGCGGGTGCTTTGCTTCCAAGCACCTCCCTCACCTGGAGGACACCCCTCCAGGGCTGGCTTGGCAGGGGACCCTCTCCTGGTTTGGGTCCTGGGCCCCAACTAGGAAGGGACTTTTGGTTGGCACAGCACCTGTGCTGGTGTTGGGGGGAGTCGGGGACTGACGGTGATGCTGGCTGACCTGCTGTCCAGGGGCAGCCCTTCCCTTCCCCCAGGTCCTCTTCCAGTGCTGCCTCTCAGGGCTCAAAGGGGAAGGATCTCCTGGCAAACTGTCCTCAAGGGGCTGATAAGCGGAGCTCTCTGGTGTCCAGAACTCACACCCCACCTTAAATGTATTGAGAGTACAAGAGAGACGATTATGTGGTTCTGGGCAGAGGTGGCCCAAGTCCCAGCTGACTACCCTAGCTGACCAAGCACGAACCCTGCAGAAAGGCACCCATGACCGGCCACACACACCCCAACTGGAGCAGAGAGCGAGGATTTAAAATGAGAGTGATGTAGGTGTAAGAGATATGAGGCAAGGTTAGCAACAGGAAACAAAGTCATTTAAAATATGGAAGTACTAGTGAGCAGTTAAAAATTAATGTAGAAATAAATTCATTGAAGGGAAGAATACAATAGGTGGGATGTAATGTAGGAGAATGAATTAGAGGTTGGAAAACTACCCTTTGGAACACAGCAAGAAAGGGTTAAAGAAAATGAAGAAACAGGCTTGGTGCCTATAGCTCAACCGGCTAAGGTGCCAGCCACGTACACCTAAGGTGGCAGGTTCGAATCCCCAGCCCGGACCCGCCAAACAACAATGACGGCTGCAACCAAAAAAAATAGCCGGGCGTTGTGGCAGGCGCCTGTGGTCCTAGCTACTTAGGAGGCGGAGGCAGGAGACTCGCTTGAGCCCAGGAGTTGGAGGTTGCTGTGAGCTGTGATGCCACGGCACTCTACCCAGGGGGACAGCTTGAGGCTCTGTCTCAAAAAAAAGAAAAGAAAATGAAGAAACAAAGTTTCAAGAATGAGGGAGATAAATGTCTTTTAAGAAAGGAAGATCTCTGATAGGAGGGAGCCAAGGGGTTCCAAAGAGGGAAAGTAAGGAAAAGCCCATACACCCAGGTAAATAGTAGAGAATTTAAGAATTTTAAGAGAAAGTTCTGAAATCTTCTAGATCTGACGCTAATGGAATAAAAATCAGTATAACTTCAGATTTCTCAAACACAACACTGAATAAGAGAAGACAGTGAAATCGTATTTGACAGCATTGAAGGAAAATAACTTCAAACATTTTAAACAAAATTGTCATTCTTATGTGAGAATGGGAGAAATATTCTCAGGCACACATAGTTTTGGAAGATTGCTACACAAATACTGCAGTGATTTGGAAGAAAGGTATAAATTTTATATATATATAAAATGAACCTGGGAGGGGCAGCAAGAGACATTGGTATAGAGATGGTGAGATACCGCGGTGCGCTGAGTGAGGCGTTCCCACGGCACCACTGCCAGACCGTGGTTGGACAGGTGTTCTGACTACTAGTATGCAGAGGGGCTGCCCACTTTATAGGACCACAAAGAGTAAAGGCACTTTGATGGAGACAGAGGAATTCAAGGAGGATTGGGGTGAAGAGAATGCATTTTATTTATTTTCTTTTGTTTTTGAGATAGGATCTTCTATTGCCTAGTCTGGAGTGCAGTGGTGGCATCATAGCTCACTGCAGCCCTATACTTAAGGGCTCAAGTGATCTTTCTGCCTTAGCCTCCTGAGTTGCTGGGAAAACAGGCACATACCACCCTGCCTCATTAATTTTTTCATTCTATGTAGAGATAAGGTTTTTGCTATGTTGCCCAGACTGGTCTCAAATTCCTGTCTTTAAGCAAGTCTCCCACTTTGGCTTCTCAAAGTGCTGGAATTATAGGCGTGAGCCACTGCACCTGGCCAGGAAACACACTTTATTGACAAAAATCTTGGAGCTGGACATGGAGTCGTAGTCCAGTGACTTCCTCCCTGCCCTCTGGCAGTGCAGGCCAAGTCTCTCACCAGGGTTACAGGCAGGGCCTTGGGGCCTCCAAGTGGACAATTTGTGGGTCGCACAGGGGGAACACATGGCAGGGTGCTATGCTCTCTGTTTAGGGTGACCCTTCTCCAGGTAGTAGCATGTCCCTTCCTTGGGATGTCCCCTTCCCATCCACAGCACACTGGTCACCTGCTCCTGCCCCTTACAGGTCTTCCCTGCTATAAGTCCTATGTCGAGGGTACGCTAGGGGCAGGCCCTGGACTGGTGGGCACAAGGCAGCCTAAAACAAGCAAGAGTGTGCACCTTCACTGCTGCGCTGCTCCGTCTGGGGTGGCCGCGCGTCTGGCTCCTGCTCATCATCTGCTTTCCTTCGCAGGACGTCAGACAGCGCTTCGGAGCGTCGCTGGGTGGCTTGTCTTTAGGCCGGGTCTGCATTATGGGCATGTCCGTCGTTAACTTACAGTTGGCCGTGTCCATAGCTCTTCGTTTCTCAGCCACTCGGCGTCAGTTTGGCCCAACAGAGGAGGAGGAAGTGCCAGTACTTGAATATCAGTTGCAGGTACAGATTTTCCAAGTATTTCCGTTTTTTTCCTACTATGTGTACAGATAATCTTTTCTGTAGATAGTCGTATTTTGGTAACTGGCAATTAGTCAAAGCTCTTAAGGGAATTAACAGGACAGTTAGCAGGATATCAGCATATCTCAGGCAGCAAGGGTCTGGGAAATGGCTTTTAGTTTATAAGGTGTGTAAATGAAGCAGCCAAAATTAGGGAAATGGAAAGAAATGAGGCTGGGAGGTGGCCTGAGCCGGGGAGGTCACTACAGGTTGGGCAGGCAGTGGTGCTGCATGTCCTGGGCACATTCTTGGATGCATTTGTCTCATCCCTAAGAAATTATTCCAAGGAGATAACTTTTAAGCGGCAGCAACCAGGTATGCAGCCCTGTTTGTGTATTTAGAAGAGCAGGGGGGATACTCGTCCGCTCATCCTCAAATGGGCTGGCTGTGGCTGCATATAGTCAGCCCAGGGCAACATAGACACCCTCATGTGGGATAAATGGTTATGGTGAACATCCCTACAGTGCTTGTGGGGCACAGGCCCTTCCACAGTGCTCCATGGAGCTGTGCGTAAACCTAGGTCTGTGGGATGAAAGTTTGAGGAAGTTGTTACAGCATGGCAGTTGATTCTTTGAACATTCCTTTTACTGCAGCCGTGAATCTGCTTTAGTAAGTGTCCTGGTTCATGTCTGTGTGGCATGCACCCACTGTCTGTGTCGATCTCGTGGCTCATGTATTCACTGTATGTCTGGCCGCTGTCAGCACTAAGGGTCCTCAGTACTTAGGAGAGCTGCCCGGGACCACGGTGCTTGGGCTCATGATTCATGTCCCCCTTGCCTGGCTATGTGTCCTCCGGCAAGGTCCCCACCCTCTCCGTTTTGGGGTCTCATTAGTAAATTGGAACTGATGCTAACACTTTTCCCTCAGGCAGGTGTGAGGATTAAAGACATTAATACACAGAGGCGGCTGACACAGGGCCTGATCAGTACTCAGGATGTGTTAGACTGTGGTGCTGATGGTTCCCCAGGCTCCTTCCTGGCTTATCCCAAAGGACAAAGCCTGCCCCCTGAGGAATTGCCTGCCCTCAGTTTTCCCACCTGGCCTGGAGTGATCACTTCACCTTGCACAGGCTCATGAAGCTTGTGCGGTCAGCCTGGCAGCCCATGTGCATGGTCATCCCCCAGCAGAGTGACCGTCTCAGTTCGTAGGTAGACTTGACATTTTGTTCCATCATGACTTTGACAGGACAGCTGTGAGAGGTCGGGATTCAGGGAGTTGCATTTGAGGTTGGACATCCAGGGCAGTGGGTGAACTTGGAAGCCTGTCGTGTACCAGGAAGGCACAGGGAGGCCTTCAGGGCTAACAAACCCCGGCCCTGACAGCCTCCCCTTCCTCTGACTTCATACTCCCCCGGGGCGATCAGCCCTAGTGGGAACTGTGACGTGTTCATCCAACGTCTTGTTGTTCTAGCAATGGCGGTTACTTCCGTACCTGGCTGCTGCCTTTGCCTTAGATCACTTCTCCAAGTCGCTCTTCCTGGACCTTGTAGAGCTTCAGCAAGGCCTTCAGGGGGAAGAGCGCAGTGCCAGGCAGGTAAGTGGCACGCCCTTCCCCAGCAGCCTTGTCGTTCCCATTTCACAGAGGTTGCACAGCATAGATCCAGCCTTTACTTCAAAACAAAACCAGTCTGTGGGGTTGTGGGGCCAGAGTCTATGACACCATCCTGCAGTTGCTCTCTTCACTTGGAACTCTGGGCGTTCCTGAGATTTGAACAGTCCCGCTTCTCAGGACGTGCTGACACGACTCCGGATTCAGTCTGTGAGTTCAGCTGTTGTGCTCCTTTTGAGAACATGATGGTTTTGTAAAATCTGCATTACCAGCCGCTCAGTAAATTTCATGGTTCTGAGCCTTTCATAAACAATGGTACAAAGGTCAGAGCCCAGTTGACTGGATCTGAGTTGACAGTGAAGGATTTGTGCCAGAGCAAGCGTACAGACCCACTGAGACCAGCCACCGCATGAGGAGAGGTCCTCTGCTGGTTTCTCGGTGGATGGTTTGCAGGCAGGTCTTCATATTCTCTCCTGCTGCCTCCTGAGCGAGAATGAAATGTGAATCAAAAGAAATGCACTTGAAAGCAGGTTAGAAATGCTACAAATTGGGATTATATTCCACGTCAGCAGGAGTCTGTATCAAATTAGCGTGTTGCAGAACATTCACATGAACATTCAGGAGTCCAGAGGCAAGGATGGCAGACGGACAGCCCCCAGGATTCCTTGCACAGCAAACCAGGAGCCCAGCAGGGCCTGGGGTGGGAGCATTTCATGAGAAACGAAGGGGTAGACTGTTTTTCCCCCGCATGAGTCACTGTAACTTTTGCCAGCTGACATTTGCATTGTTCTCTCATAATAATGTTGTAAAGCATGGTCACGCTTCACTCTTCTGTAACTCCATGGCTTAACCCAGGCACAGTAGGACCTCAGAGTAGCCCCTTATTTGAAGTTGAAACTAGTGCAATTGATCGTTTTGTGTAGCAGGTGTGTGCTTCTCTTTCTCATAATTGTTTTAATTGTTTATGAGATATCAAGTAGAAGCCAGAGAATCTTTATAAAACATCTGTTAGTCACAAGGGAGGATGACACAGTGAGCACCCACACAGAGTGGACTGTTGGTCACTGTTACTGCTGGCAGCCTTCTGGAAACTGGCAGATCCCGCCCTTCCCTCTTCTCAGAAAGAGCTGCCATCTCTGGCGTCAGATCGGATTCCCTGGCCTTTCTTCTTAGTTTTGCCACAAATGATTGCAACTTTCATCTGTGTATTATTCTCTTTTACAATTGTGAACTTTATATAAACTGGGTCATGACGTTTGTTCTGCCATTTATCTCTGGGACCACATTAGGTGCCTGAGGTTTAGTGCTGGACAAAGCTGTGGTCTGTTTTCATTGCGTATGAGTGAGCGTACTCCTGAATGTTCATGCTGATGTTCTTAGATGAAGAATTTTTGTTTTCAAAATTGGGTTTTCTTTTCTGAAATTGTGGGGTTATCTCAGATGGGAAGAGACAGCCCTCTGACACTAGTGCTGAAATTGACCCCTTACTTTTGATATCAGAAGTCTATTTTCACCTGTTCTTATTGGATTTCCTCACCCAAAGGCAGAGCTCGCACAAGAGATCCATGCGTTGGCATCAGCTGGCAAACCTTTGGCCTCGTGGACAGCCCAGCAAGGAATTCAGGAATGCAGAGAGGCATGTGGAGGACACGGCTATCTGGCCAGTAGGTGTTGGAGAAGCATGTAGTGGTTACTTAGCTCTGCCATTTGACTCTAGACCAGGGGTTGGCAAACTACATCCAGCCTGAGGACCAAATTCAACCTGCTGCCTTTTTTTGGTAAATAAACCTTTATTGGAACACAGCCATGCCTAATCATTTACATATTTTCTACAGCTGTTTTTGCACTGCAACCATGAAGTTGAATTGTCACGACAGAGACCATATGGCTTTCAAAGCCCGAAATATTTACTACCTGGTTCATTACAGAAAAAGTTTGCCAACTCCTGCCCTAGACAGATCCAGCTGCTTTCTGATGCCTGATGTATCTTGGTCAAAATTCAGGGCTATTAATGAAGTAACAAGGACTGTATGAATGAGCCCACTAAAAACTAGAGCCGAGATCAGGTTATCTGTTTATTTGAATTATAACTTTTTGGTCCATGATTTGGTATAAACTAGCACCAAGTTATATCCTTTTTTTTTTTTTGCAGTTTTTGGCTGGAGCTGGGTTTGAACCCACCACCTCCAGCATATAGGGCCGGTGCCTTACTCCTTTGAGCCACAAGTGCTGCCCACCGAGTTATATTCTAATATAAAATTCCTAAATTTAGGAGGGAAAGGTTGCCATTGACTTTTGCTTGGGCAGCTGGTGTGTGGTTAAGAGAGTAGGTAACCAGCCGCCTGGACCAAGTCCTATCCCTGCTTCACTGCCATTGTGACCTCCTGAGCGGCTTAACCTCCCTGCCCCTCGTTTTCCTTATACATAAAATGGAGCTGATAATAGTGTTATACCCGTGACACAGGTGCTTGCCGGATGAAGTGATTTAACACACGGAAGCTGTTAGCGCAGTATCTGCCATGTAGTACCTGCCCAGTAACATTTATCTGCTATTGTTATCATTACAGTGCCTATCATTATTTACAGCTTAACTGCAAAACTTCCTTTGTGCTCATCTTAAATAACTGGTGGGCAGTGCCTGTGGCTTAGTGGGTAGGACGCCAGCTCCATATATCGAGGGTGGCGGGTTCAAAACTGGCCCCAGCCAAACTGCAACAAAAAATAGCTGGGCATTGTGACGGGCACCTGTAGTCCCAGCTACTTGGGAGGCTGAGGCAAGAGAATCACCCTAGCCCAAGAGCTGGAGATTTCTGTGAGCTGTGACACCACGGCACTCTACTGAGGGTGACAAAGTGAGCCTCTGTCTCTAAAAAAAAAAAAATTGATTGGTTACAGACTGGTTCAAAGCAGCCACGTACACACTCAAAATGACAACAGAATTGGCCAAACCTTACTGACCTACAAGAGAATATTAGGATCTCACCCAGTGTGAGCGACTCGGGGATGATCTGTGGATAATTGCTCACGTGTTTCCAGTGGCCCGTTTCTGTCTGAGCACGTGCCTGCCCCAGCGTGGGGTGGCCAGCTGAGCAGCCCCTATGCTCCTTCCACACTCTGTCTTGTCACCTCCCATACATGGGTAGCCAAGGCTGTATATGTGGGTTACTCATTTACGGGTTTCGTCCTCTGTGCAAAGCTCTCAGTAGTTTTTGTTGTTATAACATAGAGACTCTATAAATAGCTCATCTTTGTTCTAATTTTAAATAGAATAAGGAAATGAAATCTTGCAGTACTGCAGACAATAAAAACAACCGAATCAAGATTCGTTACATGTACAAAAGCTGGGCTGAGACCCATAAGACTGAAGCCAACAGGGATAAGTAAATGAGAGGGCCGTTATCCAGGTTCAGAGTACCAATTGCGAATCTTTCCTCCCTGGTCTCTCCCTGCTCTTCACATTCAGTGGCTCAGCCGTGGTGTGGGGAGGGGAGACGAGATTTGGTAGCACGTTGGTGGCACGTTTCACGCCCACCTGGCCTGGTAATTGTGGATATGAGCAGGAGAAGTGCGAGTCCCCTCCTGTCTCTCCTGTTCCAGCCTCACATTCAGAGAACGTTTTCCATCAGAGGGGGGAGACCCTGATGCTTTAAAATACGTGAAGGAATCAGTCTATTTAAGGAGCAGGAGAAATAAAAGAAAAATGAGAGTTGTCTTCAAATACTTGAAATTTCTTGTGTGAGAAGAAATGTCCTATTAGCTGTAGAAGGAAAAAGGGCAGCCCCTCCAAGAATGTCCCCATCTGTCAGTGGCCCCCACATGGTCCCAGGTGACCTCCCAGGGCTGGCGGTGCAGTGGGGGTGGTCAGGTTGTGCTGTGAGGCGGGGTCACCAGAGCTTCCTCTCTGGTCACACTGGGCGTGGGCTTCTGAGGGTCTCAGATGGTGCAGGCTGCTTCTCCGATATGCATCTGCAGTGATGGTGATATCGTGGCCTCATTGCAGTGAACCGGTTGGGGGTCCTCAGAGATGACAACGATCCCAACTGTACATATGAGGGTGACAATAACGTCCTGCTGCAACAGACGAGCAACTACCTTCTGGGCCTCCTGGAGCGCCGGGTCAGAGGTGAGGCGCCATGGCACGCTGGGGTGCCCAGAGCTCACTCATGAGGAGGGTTCCTTTGGCCCCCCAGTGATGTAGCTTACTGTCAAGATATCCTGTGGTTCTGCAGGAAGAAAAACAAGCTGGGCCAGCATGACTGCCAGTGTGGTGGGCTGAGGCCGGGTTGGGGAGAGGCATTGAGCCACAGACCCTGGCTGATGGGCTGGACATGTCCTCCAGATGTTATCCATGGTTTGGGGTCCCCTGTATTTCACCAAGGTCACTAAAGTGTGCATCCTAGATGGAGCTTGCTTCCAGAGCCCTCTGAAGACAGTGGACTTTTTGGAAGCCTATCCCGACATCCTAAACCAGAGGTTCACGGCCTCCAGCATTGCCGACTGCCTGGACTCTGTAGGTAAATAAGTGCTGTCTTCAGTTGTCAGGCTGCAGGTTTCCCTGGCTTTCCAAATTTCCCATCGTTACCACCAGAAAATGTTGTGTGCCCTGGGGAGGGTCCATGATGGTTATCGCTGGAGCCAGGCTGTGGTGGTGTTGAGGGCCCTAGGTGCAGCTTGTCCTGGGTCTTTCCTTGCTTGGCTCACTCTTCAAGTATCTGTGTGCCCCATGCTTACTCCAAAGAGGAGATACAGGTGCCCACGCTGTGCCCCACACCTTCCTCTTTTCTCTCCCTGGTGACGAGGCTGAGTGCCCCTGGCCTTTCTGCCTGACCCACCTGTCTTCACCCACCCCTGCCACCAACTTCAGGTGTCCCCTCCCACCTTTGGTGCAACCCTTCCTGGCCTTGGCATGCTCTGTGTGCTTCCTTCTCTGGGGCCCAGTGGTGCAGGCTTAGGCGTATTCACGCCCCTGTCCCTTGCTTGCCTCCCAGGGCTTATCACAGAGCCAGCTCCACAACACCCACACAGGGTCTGTCCTGGGAGAGATGGGAATGCGGCCTGTGGGTGGTAGTGAGGAAGCAAAGTATACTTCGTTATAAACTGTACTTAGTCTTGACACTTGATTTCTTCCTGTAGAGTAGTTGTATTCATGTTCATTCATTAATTGTACAGATATTGGTTAATTGCTCACTCTGCAGTTCCAGGAGTGGGGTATGGAGGTGCCTAAGACGAGCCGCCTGTTCTCATAAGGCTGTACAGTCAAGATAGGGGACAGGACCACATGCCAAGGCCCCAGTCATGGCGGAACAGGAGACTGCAGAGAAGTGGCCTGGGTTGGTGGCTTCCTCAGGGCCTTAGATGCCAGGGGCAACCTCTCCAAGGACATGGCCTTGGAGCTGAGAGCTCAGCTGGAGGAGGGTGGCCATCGGACACCTAGGGCAGGACATTTTTGGAGGAGGCAGAGGTTGAGCCTCCTGCCAGTACTGTGAGATCATGAGGTGACAACAGGCAGGAAAGCAGCTCATGTTTGATGGTTCATGTCTTTAAATGTTACTGTGGAGAAAAGGTTCCTCTGGTTGCTCTGTGGAAACTGACAGAGGTGAGTGAGTGAGGTGGCCAGGGCCAGACTGCATCATCAGAGGTGGAGAGAGGGCTGATGGGCAGGATGGGGGCTCAAAGGGCTGCTGTGAGCCCTGCTCTGTCTGGATCTCTCAGCTTTCTAAAGGACTAATTGGGGGCTATGCTTGGTGGCTCATACCTATAATCCTAGCACTTTGGGAGGCTGAGGTGGGAGAATCGCTCGAGCCCAGAAGTTTGAGACCAGCCTGGGCAACACAGCTAAATCCCATCTCTTCAGAAAAAGTTCAAAAATAGTGGGCATTGTGAAGGGCACCTGTAGTCCCAGCTACTTGGGAGGCTGAGGCAGGAGGATGGCTTGAGCCTAGGAGTTTGGGGCTACAGTGATCTATGATGATACCACTGCACTCCAATCTGGGTGACAGAGCAAGATCTTGTCTCAAAAAAATAAATAAGGGGCTAATTAGAAACAGGGACACACTTGAAGATCTATTCCTGATGTTTGCAAGTCACTTTCCGAGCTTCCCAAATACTGCCACAGAAAGAAATAGAAAATGACCTAATCATTACAATAACTTCAGCCCAACCAAAAGTTTTTTCCTAAAACCATTACTCGATACAAACCCAGGACATAGACAGGGGTCCACCAGCATCTTCTTTGTCTGTCTTCGTGCCTTGCCTTCCTTCCCTCCTTCTGAAACCATGAAGACTCGAACAATTTTTGTATACCAGCAGCAGGAGAATTGCCAAAGTGGCGTCATCTGTTTTTCCTCTGACTGGACTAATTTTTGCAAGATCCAACAAAGTGAAAACATTTTCTGGAGGAAAAAAATGCAAGTGAAATTCACTGGGTGAAAGTGGTTTGGCAGCAGTAGGAGTCTTCACACACACAGGCGCTGGGAGCTTGGCCGACTCCTTCGTGTCATGGGCGTCGGATAACCGAACCCCAGTCGCAGGCTGCCTGCACAGCCTGTGTCATCTGGATTGGGAGTAAACGTTTTGTGGGTGATTTGTGCACCCCAAGCTCTTGCAGGACTAGAGAGATGCAGACCTTTTCCAGGATTTTGACACCTGTTTGGGAGGTGGAGAGATTTATCAAGCTCGTGGCACTGACCCTTCAGGGGTCAGATTGTTACACGTTGCAGGGAGAAGTGGACATTGCTTTCTGTCCAGTTCATCTCTTTGCTGCAGACTGTTCTGAGCCCTTGGGCCCTGTGTGTCTGAGGCCTTGCAACATCAGCCTAATTTCGCTTCCTTTAGTTGGCTCACTTGTATTAATAGCAAATGACAGTGTTTACTGCTGATAGCCACATATATAGGCAAGATCCCGTGATGAGAGCATGGGGTCACATGGGGCCACATGTGGGCAGTGAGGTCACGTGGGGTCACGTGGATTGAGTAGTGAAGTTACCTGACCCAGCAGTGGATCTCATGGGCTGAATGTGTTCCCAGAGGTTGGAGCTCAGGTGTTTGGGTCAGCACTGCCCCCCAGCGGTGTGACTTTGAGCTGGTCTTTGGTGTTTCCCTTCTGCCCTGACTGTGCAGGGACCATGATGGGGGTTGGTTGTTGTGTGGTGGGGGTCTCCATCCTGACACTCCCTTGAGCACAACAGACCAGGTGAGGTCTGCTTTAGTGGGACAAGGAATGTCTCCCAGGAAGTTAGCACGAGATGGGTCCGTGTGGGGCATCTAGGTAGCCACCAGCCGTTCAGGAGCCCCAGGACCTTAGTCTCACTGTCTGGATGAGATTCCAGGCATGCTCTAGTGTGACCCAGAGGGACCTGGGTACAGGGACCTGGGCAAGGAACCAGAGCCCCACCCGAGGCACAGCCCTGGGGAGCAGTAGAGACATTATAGGACTGAAAGACCTTGAGGGACCCATCAGACTAGAGGGTGGGTGGTAGGGGAGGCTTGGACATTTGGAGCTGAGATGTCCAGAAGCCCCTAGCATAAGAGGCAGGAGCAGGCTGGCAGCCCCAAGAATGGTGGAAGAGTGCTGGGGTGGGAGGGACGGGAGAGCAGCCAGCATGTGGCAAAGCACCAGCCATAGGCCAAGGGCGGAGACCAGAGCCAAGGCAGGGGGAATCCAGGGTCTGGCAAGGGGTCCAGGTGTGGTGGCACGTGCAGAAGGGCAGTGAGGGAGCCTTGGAGTCCCTTTGGTAGGTTCAACGAAGAACCCTTGTGACCCAGGACTCCAGGAAGGTCGAGCACAAAGATTGAAACTGTATGTGGGGGTTAAGAATTCACTGCCAGATTGTTGCCGATTTCCCCATGCAGTTTGTTTCCTTGGTAGTGTTTCACTTTCAAATAAGCTCTAGGAGCTGGACACACACATCCTTTCATTGTGGCGCACATGTGCTTCCACATGTTTGTTGGGGAATCTTCTCCCATCCCTGTGAACACATCAAAATATGCAATATATTGGCTTGGCACCTGTAGCTCAGCAGCTAGGGCACCAGCCACATACACTGGAGCTGGCGGGTTCAAATCCAGCCCAGGCCTGCCAAACAATGACAACTATAAAAAAAAGAAAAAATAGCCAGGCATTGTAGCAGGTGCCTATAGTCCCAGCTACTTGGGAGGCTGAAGCAAAAGAATCGCTTAAGCCCAAGAGTTTGAGGTTGCTGTGATACAGCTTGAGGCTCTGTCTCAAAAAAAAAAAAAAAGTAATATATTTTTTCATGAAATCATTAAAAACTAAAAGCAGAGTTTTTGAAGAAAAGTGCTGGGTAAACCTAACTCATTTATCAAGCTTGTTTCCGTTCAAAGCAGAAACAAAAATTTAAACTGGTCATTGACATTAAGCATTGTGGGTTAAATCTGGTTGTGGAAAAAGCTTGGAAAATTTGGGTAATAGCAGTGAAGCGTCCATCACAGAGGGACCCCCAGGGCAGTGTTTGGGAGGGACTCTGAGCCATGGTTGATGTGTTGTGGGACACAGGGACCTCTGGTGTGGTTAGGAGAAATCCACAGGAGCAGTTTCTGGCCTAGGCCATTCCCTGGGCCCTGTTGCTGTGTAAACAGACCATGGAAAACATGACTGCAGCGTCCACCTCTCACTGCCGTCCCATCCGTCCTGCTGGGAAGAGCTTGGGAGGCAGCAGAGTCTCAGGTTCCAAGGACAGGGTGTCAGGAGGGCCTGTGCCATCATCGTGGGTTCAGAATCCACGCAGACTTTCAGATAATGTCCTGAGGGCTGCATTTAAGGCTCAAGAATGGCCACTGAGCAGCTCGTGTGTTAGTTCTGGGATTGCTGGTAACAAAGTGCCACAAAGAGAGCTGGTTCAGAGGCAGAAATTCAAAATCTAGGTGCTGGCAGGGCTATGCCCCCCAGACCTCTAGAGAGGGGCCTGCCTGCCCTGCTCCTGCCAGCTCCTGCCAGCTCCAGGCATTTCTTTGGCTGTGGCTGAGTCACTCTAGCCTCTGCCTCTGTGTTCACGTGGCCACTTCCTCTGACATATCCTCATATTTCTTATGAAGACTCTTGGCTTTGGATTTAGGGCCCACCATGATCCAGGATGACTTCACCTTGATACTCTGGCCTCTGCCACCTTTCTCCCAATAAGGTCCCACTCACAAGTTCTGGGGGTCTGAACTTGGACAGCTCTCTGAGGGCCACCATTCAAGGCTATGCACCTGCCAGGCTTGTGGGAGGGGGACCTCTCATGGGCACCTGTGTGGAGGATGCCTTTGGCTGTCCTCTGCCTGGGGAGTCAGAGAAGCCTATTTCTATCCCAGCTGTCCCCACTAAGAGCTGCTCGGCCCTCTGGGACTGTGGGTGGTCTGGTTTGATCCTTGGTGGGTTTCTCGGTTGTGCTGTGAGGACCCACTAATGCTATCGGGAAAGAAATAGTGGGATGTGTGAGAAACTGCAAAGGATGGGTGTCTCCTTTCCAGGGAATTGGGCTGCGTGATATAGAAGGATCCCCTTAGCTCCACCTATGGGCCCAGACCCCATGTGGCTAGATCCCCAATTCCTCCCTAGGGGTCTGAGCTGAGAGCAGCCACCAAGCAGAACACTCCCTGTTTCTGTGATCCAGAGTCCCTCAGGTTTGGGTTCTGGACTGTCAGTGCACAGGGAGAAGGTGGTGAGAACATGGACTTGGCTGCTGCCTCCCCAGCAGGGTGACAGCACTGCCTGGCAGTGTCTCTTGAGGCTGTATCTGGTCTCTGGTAAGTGCTATGGAGGTCGACCTGAGTACCGACGGGGTAGCCCACATTATGAGTATCACCACATAGGAGGGGCGGGAGTCAGGGGAGCACCACTGTGCCATCCGTCTAACATCCTGCTGTGGCCCCTCTGCTGTCAGTATCTTCTCCTACAGCCTTGTTGGAACTATGCATGAGGCGAGGTCTCGGGAGACATGGTATCAGTATCCAGCAGGCCAGTGAGGTCCAAGGGCGAGGCCTGGCGAAGTGGACAGAGGCGCCCCCTCTTCTTGCCCCCTGGCTACTATCTGCCTGGCAGTTGTCCTGAAGCTCATGCAAATCCTTGGTGATGCCAAGGGGCCAGACTAGACAGGATGCATGAGCCAGAGTGTGTAGCTCTTCACATGAGAGGTGCCAGCTCTTAGGCTGGCTCTGCGTCCTTGTAGCTTCCATGGTTGCTAGAACAGTGTGCAACTCAGGACAGCCTCATGGCTGAGCCAGGAAACACCCTCAACCATGCCTACTCCTGCCTGGGGGTCTTCAGCAGTTACCTGCCGGTGCCTGAGTTTCTCTGCCTGTGAACTTGGACCCACCTCATGCACTCACCCATCATGAAGATGGGGAGGTCACACTAATGCTCACAGTGCCATTTGTCCCAGGGTCAATGCATGACAAATCTGAGATGCTCAACTGTTACTTTTTTTTCTTTCTGTTGCTTGTTTTTGAAGTCCCCCTGGCTGCATACGAGTGGTTGGTTTGTTACCTGCTCCGAGAGAGTTACCAAAAGTTAAATCAAGAGAAAAGATCAGGAAGCAATGACTTTGAAGCAAGGAATAACTGCCAGGTATGTGCTTTAAAAATTGCTTTTTGTATTATTTGCTCTTAATTCTTGTATCTCCAGGAAGTTGAACATGCTGGTGGTTGCAGTCCCTACCCTCCAGCTCCTGTGACCTGGGGTGGAGCACCTGACTTCTTTTTTTTGGCTGGGGCCAGGGTTTGAACTTGCCACCTCCAGTATATGGGGCTGGCACCCTACGCCTTTGAGCCACAGGCACTGCCCAGCACTTGACTTCTTTGCACCTTTCTGTGGTCTGCTATAAAATAGGAATGGCAGCACCTGCCTTGCTGGGTTGCAAAAGTTGTGGATTTTATATTCACAGTGTCTAATGACATCTGAGCCCTAAGTCAGAGCTGCGATTGTTGGGGATGGAACATTAGTTGGGGAGAGCCTTAGGTGCAGCAGGGCTGGGACACTGCTGTGGGGCTGCAGAAAGCCCTGCTGACTCACAGGGTCACATCCTCGCTCTGCACTTGGTTGTTCTCAAGTCATTATCGCCTTTACTGAGGGGCCGAGAGGGTGGCTTTTAATGGGTTTTGGAAGTGCTTTGGTTCTCACACTTGGACACACAGTGCAGACACCCTGTTATAAAACAGCTCATTATGACCAGAGCCTGGTGATGCTGTGAATCCAGTTCTGTCTCCCATCTGTGGGAAGGCTGTCATGCGGGAGGGCCATGGGTGAGAAAGGTGCAGAAGATCCAGAGACGCTGCCATTCCTTCTCCCGGCACCGTCATTGAGCTCTGTGTCATACTCAGTAATGAAGTCATCCGGTCACCCATGCCTGGGTCCGCCTGTCTCCTGTGACAACCCCAGACCCCATCCCCTGCTGCTCAAGGAAACCCACATTGACTTTGTGCCTTAAAAGAAGTTCAGCAGATGGCCATGGTCAACAGAACTTTCAGTTTAGGACCACAGTAACCAGAAATAGGAGACCTGAAGTGACCCTTCCAGAACACTTTCTGTACCCACCTCAGCCTAGGGTGCAGCAGGTTTGGTCACTGGAAGACTGGCAGTGCCCGTTCCTTCCATTGTAGGTCAAATAGCCATTCTAGGATGGAAACAGAGGCACTACCCTGAGTTACAAATCAAGATCCCTGAAAAGACAGCACGGAGGGGCCCATTCCTAACAACATCTAGGTCTCCTGAACTTCCTGGAAGGGCTCTGTAGGGCCTTAGCACCCTGCCAGCCCCATCTGTTCTGGGCTTTGGCACATGTGACCTGCACCCTGAATGCAGGTCTTGGTTGTCAAGAAACAATTCACCTTTAGGTCTTCACGAAGGAACTTGGCAACAGCATCTCAGTGAGTCCTGTAGCACAGCAGGGGACAGCTGGAGACTGGTGTCCCTGGGGAGAGCTTCTGGGTGGACAGACACCCAGGGGCACCAGTTGTGAGACACAGCCACCCAGAGCTGCAGGAGGCCAGGGCTGCAAGGCAGCCTTGAGGCCTAGAAGGGGAAGGGAGTGATCACGAGGGGCTTCGTGTTCCAGACGCGATGTAAGGATCAGGGACATTGCTGACAGCCGAGAGCTCTTGGGCCTGGGCTGGATGCCAGGGAGGCCAGAAGGAGACACAGTCTCTTTCCCTCAGTGTAGCATGAGAAGAAAACTAGAGAGAATGTTTATATAACCTCCCTATGGGACAGTCCTTCCTGAGGAAGGCAGGAAGCCTAGAAGCTATAAAAGAAAAGAAAACTCAGATTTTACTGCATAAAGGTCCACCATTTCTGGATAGGAAAAGATATTCAAAACAAAATGGGAAGATGAACAACAGACCTGGAAGCACGTGTGGCACGTGACCAACAGAGAGCCCCGGGAAGGGGTCTGTGTTAGGGCTGCCTCACCAGAGGCAGCCCCGGCAGCTGCTGACCCAGAACCAGGGACCACACTCCCAAGGGCATTGGGCTGAAATCAGGGTGGGAGATGGTGCATGGCTGTCCTTTGGGAAAGTTCCTGGCCATTTTTGTTAGATAGTGTGCTTACTCTGTGACCTGGGGAGAGGGACAGTATTTATTAACTTTCTTAGTCTCCTGGTGCCTACCAATAATAACTTCCATTTACTGTCTACTAGACTTGTACAGTAGGGTCTTAAAACACGCATTTCTCTGACTTTTTGGATGACACCTTTGTGTACAAGTTCAGCAGAAAAGTGTGTGGCAGCATCTTCCCACCCCCATGATGAACCTGCTGCCTGTTCCTGGGGAGTCCTTCCTGTGGTCTGCCCATCAGGAACTGGACAGGGACGTCTTTTCTCCTCTCATCACACACTGGATTCTACCTGTGTCATGTTGTCATCTTTGGGAGTTAAGGCTGCTGAGGCTAAGAGAAGTACCCAGGTCTGCGCCTCGAGCCCAGGCCTCCTCCTAAACTGCACGGCCGACATCTGGACTTGGACAGTCTGGGGCTCGTTTTTGCCTAACGTATCCATTACCTGTTGAAATGGGAAGTTCAGGTACAGTAGGCAGTGGTGCCCCCTTCCTTTCCTGGGGCCAGGTGCTTGCTGGGTGGGGGACTGATATGGAAAGGGTCCAGAGTTAGGGGCCACCCGCCTGGCCGGGGGTGAGCCTTCATCTGTGGTGTGCCCACTCTCACTGCTGCAGTGATGCTGACCCTTAGCTCCACCAGGTCCAAGAAGTGCCTCATCATGGTCCAAACTGGGGACAGTAAAACATCCTGGCTCCAGTGGGAGGGCTGAGACCATTCCAGGAGACTACCCTGGAGCAGATCCCCAGCCCAGTGCCCAGTCTTTGAGGCAGTTTTGGGGGGCAGTAGCGTTCCCACACTGGTCTGTGAGTGCTGTGAGCACACTCAGCCTGGAGCGCCCCAGCCATAACCAGGACTAGGGGATGCATTAGCCATGGGGGAGGGAATGTACCTGAGGCATTGCTGTTCCCCTGGCTCCTGGAGTCAGCACTGTGGGAACATTTCTTGGGCCCCAACCCACCCAGGGGTGTCCAATCTTTTGGCTCCTCTGAGCAGCATTGAAAGAGTTTTTCTGGGTCATATACCAAAAGCTGATGAGCAACAAAATAGCTCTGTGCATAATTTCCATGATATCCAGTACAACAGACAAGCAAAAACATCCCCACGTAAGTTGCATGTGGCCCATGGGCTGTAGGTTGAACACCCCTGCCTGAGTTGTAATGGTGAATTCTGTTCAGATAACTGATGGACTTATCTGGACGTTTCTCAGACTCAGTGCAGTGCAGTGCATGCGAAATCCTGGGGCCTGAGCTCAAACAGTCTATGTGACAGAGCTGTCTGAGGGCTGTGCAGCCACTTCACACCATGCAATTTAACATGATCCTCAGTGACACTGGGAGGTCCTCCCTCTGCCAGTGAGGGCACTAAGGCTGGGGCCATAAAGCCATTTGCCCACACGTGCACAACTACAGAGCCCAGAGGATCAGGATGGCCAAGCCGCTGGCTGCTGTGTCCGTGTTTCGGAGCCCAGTGGGACTCAGCGTGGATGTGTACACAGCCTTTCTGGGCCTGCCACTAGCCTGTCCAACCCATGCCTCAGCGGAAATTGAAGCGTGTCACTTACATAAAAAATGCAATGAAACAGCATCATGTTAATACAGGAAAACCCACATGGTTGAAAAGAGGGCGAGGTTAGGAGAGCACGCAGTTGGGGCTCAGTTCTGAGTGGTCTCTGCCTGTGTCCAGACCCCGCGAGGATCGGCCTCATCTCTGGGTTCAGAGGACATACATGACAAGAGGAGAGGCGTCCACTGTTTGGGTTGAGGAGGGCAGGGTAGCCTGGGCAGCTGGCAGTGTAGAGCCTGGCCGGTGGCACTCCCCAATGACCTGCATTGTCAGCCTCCTCCCAGAGGCTTTTGGAGAGGCCTGAGGGGCGCATCTCCACTCAGCAGAGCTCTGGGAAACCTGGGTGCTGGTCCTAGCTGGGGTCTATCATGCAGTCTCCCTTCCTCTGCCCCAGCACAAGTCCAGATCCTTCCCATACCAAGGGCACATGCATTCTATGCATGTGTGGGACAGGGGAGCACCAAGCCACACCTGAGGGTCCCAACTAGCCCCCCTGCTACTCGGACAGCAGGAAGCAGGCTGGAAACCTTGGCACCAGCCATGGCCTGGCCTGTAGTGTGTGTGGCCCAGCAAGGTCTCTGGCTGGCAGGAGTCAGAAGGCAGAAGGCATCTCCCCCATGCCTGGTCATCCGAGGCTCTCCCTATGTCAGCAGGTCTTGCAGCTGGAGACCCTGTCTTGGCTCCTGCCATCCAGACCAGGCCTTGAAAATGAAGCTTCCTCCTGCTCACCTGCTGGAGTTTTAGTGCACCCTCCCCGCCTCCCCAGTGTGCTGCTGTGTACCCCACTTCATTGCAGAAAATTCAGGGCAGCACCATGTGCTAGACACTCAGCCAGGGACTCTCACAGCAGCTGTTTTGGGTATTGGTCAAAAAATAAGTTGGGAGTTGGCTTTCAGAGAAGCCCTGCTCTGCCCGCCTGGCAGCCTGTGACTCATGATGGACATGGGGTTTAGCTGGGCCCTGTCACACCATTGCCCCTCTGTGGCTGTTCTTGTGTTTCTGGATATCACGTGTAAGTGGGAGAGACTGTTTTTTAGAAGCTATGGCAGAAAGGATGTGGCCACACCCTTGGAGAGCAGAAGCCACTGTCAGCAAGGTCCCGGAGGGGCTCACTGAGCCCTGTCCTAGCCCTGAGGGTGCCATCCCAGGTGAGGAAAGAGCAGGGCTGGGCTCCCTGGGGACACACTCCAGCAACAGTGGTGTCCCCAGCCTGCCTCAGGCCCCTGTGTGCTCTTTGCTGGCGCCACGCACATTCCAGGCTGAACCAAGCTGAGCATGCCTGGGAACCACCTGAGGCCTCAACACCTTAGGCCAGAGCCTGCTGCGACTCTGAGTGTTCCCTGCACTGCCTTCTCCTTTGTGTCTTGGACGTTTCTCCTGTGACACCACATCCAGATGCTGCTTCACTGCCTGTTGCCATCCTTGGACGTGCACCAGAGCGCAAACCTGGGCCTGTGTTTCCTGGTATTTCTTCCACCATAGGATCTGAACTGTGGCTGAGACTGGGCTGCCTTCCTGTGGCTATGGGTTGCTCTGTGTCTTGTTTCCAGGTATACTACTGCCGTCCCCTGGCCTTGGCCTTCATGGAGCTCACGGTGGTTCGGAGGTTCCACAAGTACACGCACCAGCCAGGTGTGCCGCCCCCACTGCGGGCTGTGCTGGGCCGGCTCAGCGCTCTGTACGCCCTGTGGGCCCTGAGCCAGCACACAGCTGTGCTCTACCAAGGTGAGGCACCGGCCATGGGCTTGCCCCCCGCCTCTGCTTTCCCAGCACGTTACTGCCAGTCAGACTTGCTGAGCCTTTGTCACAGCCCAAAGAGACTGGGGATAGAACAGAACCCAAATCCCATAATAGGTCAAGCAGAAGGGGCAAAGAAGTGCAAGGTGGCTCTGATGGTCCCGGTGAAGTCAGTTTCCAGTTCCTTGCAGAGAGCATACCCAGAAGCTATCCGGGGGCAGTGTGCCGGGGTCTGCAGAGGGCCGAAGCCACCCTGGGTCCTCCTGATAGACATGAGCCCATACTGGGAACCCTGAAGGGCTTCCTGGAGGAGTGGGATCCTGGGTTGATTCCTGGAGTTCTGGTGGGAATGGGGTAAACAAACGTCTCCTAACCTTATTTCCTTATCACCCCATAAGGAGCCTTTTGAGACATTTATGTCTATTCCTTCAGCTGTGAATTTTGCCTGTAGACACACATGTATCTTATGGATCACTCATGTTTGGTGTGTACCCGGGTTTATGAAGTGCAGGATCCCATCTCCCACCAAGAACCAACTCTTGCCCCGCAGAGGCCTTGAGAGTGCACAGGTTAACTAAGGAAGGCAGGAGGGCATCCAGGCAGAGGGGTGAGGGCAGGGATGGAGCCGCCTTGCTGAGAAAAACTCTTCAGTGGCAGACACAGTTGTCTTCAGCAGAAATCATCACAAAAATAGGTTCCACCATAAATGCATTCCTGAATATACAGGAGCACTGTCCCTGCATCCACTAAGACCCCACAGGAAAACTGCACCTGCCAGTTGCCTGTGGGCTTCAGATAGCCCCATGTGTCCCCAGGATCCCTCCCAGCCTCAGCCCCACATTTACCACAGTAGTCCCAGGTGCCCCTGATGCTCCATGCCTCCTGTTATGTGCAGGCTCTTCTCTGCCCGTTGGCAGTGCTCCTTTAAAGGACTCGAGCCAGCTTTGGGGCCCTCCCATGTCCCTACCCCTGCCTTCACCCCTACCCCGCCCCTGCCCCTACTTCTTTGCCCCTGCTTTTCTGCCTCTCTGGGATTAGCCTTGGCAGCCCAACGCCTACACAGAGCCACCAGCACCCTACCTCCCTCACTACCTCTGGACCAGGCCCGGTTTCATGTCCCCAGCCTGTGACCTGCCCAGTGAACTGAGTGGGAAAAGCCTCTCGGCACCTGGCCTTGAGCTGGCACATTCTTCCAGAGGGATCACAGCTGGTGAGGAGTGGTGGTGAAGACACGTTGACATGTTCACACAAATAGGCCTCCGGGGGGACAAATTTGGGGAATAATGTTCAGAGGACACCAGACCCCAGTGTGACCTAGGCTGTGCTTACAGGTGGATACTTCTCTGGTGAGCAGGCGGGTAAAGTGGTGGAGAGCGCCATCCTGACCCTATGTTCCCAGGTGAGCAGGTGCCCTCTCAGGAGTCTGCACTCAACCAAACATGCGCAGGCACCACCTTTGCCTCCCACATCCACCACGCATCCAACGTTTGGGGAAAGCAGGAAGATTGCACAAAACAGGCCTACGTCAGAAATTTTAGCAGAAGAGACGTCCGTGTGGGCATCTCTGGGTCTGCACACATCAGCCCACCCTCACGAGCCTGTCACAGCTACATTGTCATTTGGGCTACTCAGCCGCCAATTTAAATTCATCCTGTGGTGTCATTCTGGTTTGTTCTTTTACCCAGCAGTGCCTGCTCTGAGGGCTTCCACAGGGAACTTCCCCATTGCTCTGTCCGTGGTCACCCCTGGCCACGTGGGGCTGGTGGTGGTTGGAATGTGCCTGGTGTCACTGAGAATTACAGGTTTCCTTTAATTAATTTAAAATTAAGAAGCCTATGTAGTGGCTGGCACAGTGGGTGGTGCCACTAGTCAGCTGAGCCCCTCTGCTTTTGATGGCAGGACCTGGGTCAATGCTCTCTGTGTTCCAGCATTCAGTGACTGGAGACGCTCCCACTTGTCCCTCCCCTTTCACTGCTCTCAAAGTTGATCTGAGACCAGGGAATGTCCTTGTGACTGGCTCTGAGCCACTCTCTGGAGTCATTTCATACACCCCATCACCTTTGGTCTCTGGAGAAGGATGTGTCTGTAATCACAGTGCACATGTGTGGCCATCTCAACTTGTCTTAAAGGAAAACCAGGGACAGGAATTTCCTGAGTCTTCCACAGTGGAGAGTTTATAGAAAAGGCCACAGCTATCTCCCTGCTCTCCATCACTCTGTGAGGCAGCCAGGCCGCCCCTACCTGTTTACACTGTGCCTCCACCAGTATCTGACACATCTAGGCCTCACTGAGGCCCAGGTCAGCCAGGTGGGGACTGCCAGCCTTCTTCTAGACCAGGGTTAGCAAACTCAGCCACACCCTGCCGTCCGCCTAAGCATAGTCTTCAGGCACTTGGTGCTTCCACAGCAGAGGTGGATGGTTGCTGCAAAGATCGTGGCCCGCAAAGCCGACTGTATCTGCCGCCTGGCCCTGTGTAGAGAACATTTGCCAACTCCTGGTAGAGGAGTCGCAGAGCCCCTGCTCTGTGGAGGTATTCCCCTCAGGAGGGACCGCAGGCCTGGTGTTGGCCCAGTGCAGAGGCATGAGCAGCACCTCAGTCACAAAGGCACACCTGTTACTGTATGTGATGGCTTTGCTGACCAGTCACAAAGGCACACCCGTTACTGTATGTGATGGCTTTGCTGACCAGTCACAAAGGCACGCCCCTTACTGTTTGTGAGGGGTTCGCTGACCAGTCACAAAGGCACGCCCCTTATGCCCCTTACTGTTTGTGAGGGGTTCACTGACCAG